TGCGTGTAAAACGAGGAAGAACCACATAAAGCGATTATTTTCCAAAACGAGGAATTATTAGGCTTTGCTCAGATTACGCTCAGCTTTGGTACATTGAATTTAGTCAACGTATTACGTATTACACCACGAGTAGAATCACAAATGATTTGTGTAATATGCTCCGCCCAGTTACTCAGAGCGCATGCGCGATAGCGCATGCGCGATAGCGCATAGTCTATAATAGGCGTGGTTCTTAAATCTTTAAACGCAAATTGTGACTCTTTCACTCAAGCAAATTAAAATTTTTAAATTTTATTATATTATTCATATTATAATTTATTTTAGGAGTTTATAAGCGTACCTTTATGATTTATGCAATAAAATTACTATGTTTATGTTATTTAGATGTATTTCATGCATCGGAGGCATTTAATACCAAAAAGGTTGTGTTTATGTGTTTATATTCACATGAGCATTTACTAAAACCACGAACGCAGAAAAAAACCCAACCGAAATAGGATAGCATCAAACAAAATGTTTGATTTGGTTGGGGTGGCCAAGGTGAAAATGTCGGGCGGAATGATAAAACGCTCGAATCGCTTGATATATTATTTATCGCCATCGTAAAAGCAACGCCCCTTGAGCATAACTGCCATACTCAAGTACGCAATGGGTAATCACCCCCTTTAAACACAAAATTCTAATAAAATTGATGTTTTAAATGCATTTTAACAAGCATAACGCCGGAAAAAAAAACGAAACGAAACGAAAATCAAGACTCACTCACTCATTCGACACCGATAAGTCGACATCACGTCGTGAGTTACAAAACCGTCCCGAAGTCCTAAATCCCAAAGTTTCCAGATTAAGTGACAGCGTTCGCTTCGAGCGGCGCTATCAGTGTCAGGATGCGCCGCGACGGTACGACGGCAGGACGACATCGTTATCTGTCGATAATTCTCCTTCGTATTGGAAATATCCAACAATTCCACAACGTTATTTTTTTAATGCGCATGCGCAGTAGCACAAAATGTAACAATTGGAAAGAAGTGACTTTTAATGTAATTACTCGATTAAACTTGAAAGTCAATATAGTTAAACAACACTTTCCAGGTTATTTACAAGCGTACATCGAATCAATCGAATCGTTTGTGCTGCAATCGAACAAATTGAATAAATTGCTGCAATTGCATCAAAGGTGTATCGAGCGCTTTGTGCCACGTCGATGATACGCTTGTCGATTGGACGAAATTGAAAACTAGAGACAGAGGAGTGCGGGCGTAACGAACGCATTAGTAATTTATATCGAATTACGGCCGCAGCGGGGGCATGCGGTCACGGTAAATACGTATAAATTGGCAAATAAATATTCGATGCGGTTTGTTTCCGGCGTCGGATGGAAGTTGGAAAAAAGCGATCGCTAACCTGTGTTAAACTAACACTAAGTATATCTAAACACTTGTTAACTGCTGTTGGAATTATTTTTAGAAAAAAGTAGTTTTAGGGTTTGAGGAGAATTCGGACACTTTGTATATTTTGGTGCATAAGATAGTTAATTCAACATGAGAGTCGTAGAATAGACAAAAACATGAGTAGTTTCCGCTGCAGTGGCTATAGCCATCCCGGAAGTGGGGTTTATGACTGCGGCAGTCGTTCAGACTTGAAGAGCAACGTCAAGTTTAGTTTCCGCGTCATATATGAATATTGTCAAATTGGCATTGTTAAAGTTTATTGCTTTAATCTAGATTTTTGTTTCGTTGTTAAGATTAAAAGTACGAAACATGACAAGAACGGTTGTGGTCATTTGAAAAACTGTATTTTTTACAAAACGCGCTGCAAAATTAAATTTTTTGGAAAATACGCAGGCATAAGCTCCGCCCCGTGACTAAAACCGGTGAATAAAGTACTTTAGCCATGGCTTGAGCAATCCGTGGGTAAAGTGCTACTTTTTGCGTCTTAAAACCGTAGAAAAAATGGCGCTTTAATTGTGGAGGTAAAAAAATATATTCAATCTTTAAGAAATGAATTTTGCAACTTATAACTTTAGTGGTTTTATAAAATTTTCATTTTTTGGCAAAAAAAGCAAAAATAAACGTTTTTGAAATGTTTTTCTTATCGCTTCAAATTCCGCTCTAATTCTTTACCATTCCTCCCGCATGACAAAAAAAAGTTAAAACTTCAAAAACCTTTTGTCCGCAGATTAAAACTTTGATACTAGCGTGGGTGGTGAGAAAATCCGTGGTAGCTTAAGGATTGCGGCTCCTGTCGAGGGTCTTTAATCACACGTCTCATAGCGGCGACGATTTCCCGACAACGTTATATCCGGCATGAACATTGTTTGAATGTTAAACATTTTGTTAAATAACAAACATAATTAATTTCGACTCTTTTCACAATTACATATTAAATGCAAAATAGTCAAAACATTTGTGATGTTTCATGTTTATGACATAATTAATTCAAAATAATATTTTATTCATAAAATAGTTTATTTCCACATAATGAATTTTTATTATTATGTTATTTGTGTTGCATACTCATATGTGTGCACTTTTAACGAACCACACCTCTTTTCACAAGCGCAAAATATAAAACCCGTGCACAGTGATTTTTTATTCATTCCAGTACAACACGTCGCACACTCCAAACAATTTCCAAACAACAAAACAAATAAAAACACGAATTGAAGTTTTTTTCTTCGGTAAGTGAAAACAAAATTGATATCCTTGAGGGAATCGAGTACGAGGATGCTGGAATGTGAAATAGTGGAACATAGTGCGACATTGAAACGTACGTTTCGCATTTCATTTACGAATCGGAAAGAAGACAGCGCTGGAAATGCATCAACAATGTATCAACTCCCAGACGTCCCAGTGCAGGACTGCAAGTATCATGCAACTGCATTTATACATTTTGTATGACGTTCTACTCCTTGATTTCGTCCCGTCAAAAACAGAATTTAATTTTTTACTCACTTACCACAAAGTATGAAGAAGACAAGCAGCCAAACCGTTGCGTTTGACATGAGGCGGCCGTTGCATTAGCTGACTCCAAACACACTGTATCAAGAAAGCACTGTGACGTGTTGCCCACGTACGCCCTCTGGTGGATGATAGCTTCCACCGTCACATAGAAATTTAACTCAACACCAGCAGAAGATAAAATCTTAAAATTTTATTTTTTTATTTATTTTTTTAAATTATTATCACTATATTGTATTGCACTAAATTATTTATTTACTTAATTATTTAAACAAACAATTAAGTTGAATTGCAAGATGCACGAGAATGTATTGTAGCGGTATTTTTTTTAGCAATTTATTATTTATAAAGATTGATTGCACTTTGCACCACTCGGAACACACGCAGGACACGCAGGACACGCGCGATTGCCACCCCCGGGGCTGGTCGAGACACGCGGCGCTGCACGGACGCGCGATTGCAGACTGCGGGTACGATGCTACTACCAACGCTACCACCGCACACTGAGGTTGAAGGTTGTGGGGAGGTGGGGGGCGGTGGCGGCGGTCGGCCGGTGCGCAACGACACCACCAAGCGACTTGAGCCGGCAATGCGGCAAATGTCCCAACAAAAATATCAAACGTCTATTTATTATTTTATTTTAAACTTGAAAAAATAATAAATAAAAAAAATAGGTTATGTTAGGTTATGTTGATATAAACACACAAAAAAGTGTTTATTTTGTACATCGAAAGAAACAAAAGTTCAAGGATGCGCAAGGATAATTCCCACATGCATCATTTCCACTCTGTCTGCATAAGGGGTGGAACTACCCTCCAGACGACCGCAATTTACAATGTTTTCTGACCTAAAACGCACCAGCAAATTGCTTCTAATGACATTATCAAACATAACCTAACCTAACACTAGACGAACATTATGTTTTTCCTTATCGCTGATCTCTTGTTTGCTCGGTGTTAATTTGCAATTACACACCGAATTAAAATTCCGATTGTACGCGCTCAGTTGCTCACTTTTTTTTAATTAGGTGCGTACTGAATGAAAAAAAACAGCGCCAACAGCGTTGAGGAAAACATTGTAGAACAAGAAAATGCGCCCGCGGCACGCAACCAGCTCGATAAAAAATAATTAGCGCTCTTTTAAGCGGCGTGCACGCGCAATTATTACCTTCCTCGGTACTTGCCGCCCCCATTGCTCTAGGAGATTACATCTACATCCGTTAAAACTGTTAGTAACGTGGTTATGAAGTAATTAAACTACATTCATGCTAGTTATTTTAATATCCAGTGATAATGAGATCTTTTTTTGTTGTTTTGTAAGTTTTATCAACTTTTTTGCTTATTATTATAATTTTAAGTGAAATTTGTGACTTGTATGGACATCTGATGGACGGAAAATGAAGTTATATTCATAGTAGCGTTACAGAGCGCTTTTTGCATTGATTTGTTAGGAGATACTGAGTAATAGTACGGATAGAGGAGTATAGGTGGCGCTAGAGGTATTAAAATAAATTTATTGGTTCGAGAAACTTACAAAACTAATTTATATGCTAATGAAATATAAATAGTGCGTAAAAATTAAATAAAATATCATCCGGATATCAATTAATTATAAAATAAATGTTTCATGTTAGTTTTCGATGAATTTTCTAAATATAGAGATTATTTGAGTCAAATACAGTGCCTTGTAATTAAATCACGGATGCACCAACCGCCCCCGACCTGAACGCATCCGATTGGCATCATTATCGGCATTCCCATTAAAAACTAATTAATATCCTGTTGAATGTCGACGTAGGTATAGTGATGATCGGAGGCGGTTGTGACGGTGGCGGCAATGTCAGCATTGTACATTTGGGGCGGCGGCGGCGGTTGGACGTCCGTCGGCCGTCGCCACGCTACTTGTTGCTCGCTCGGGCCGATGCTATCGATCCTCGTTTCGCCGCCGCCGCCGCGCACGTTAAATATGCAACAAGTACGCACGCGTGCCGCCGCCGCCGGTCGGCGATGGTGACGTCGTCGCATCCTGGCAGTCGCGGCCACCGCCGCCGCCGCGTAGACGGCGCGGTCAGTACGTCAGCGTTTGCCGACGCGCGCGAATGTTGGCGGGCGCACACCATCATCCGACGGGGGGCTGCTCTCACATCGGACACATCATGCTGCACATGCAAGTATCAATTAAATTCCTCACTCATTAATATTTTATATCATCATGCTAATCGAATGTTAATTTAATACAAATGTTTATTGTGTTGTCACTGCTTTGGAAAAATAAGTCGATAAATTTATTATTCAAAAATGATGATGATCCTAATCATTGTCATAATCATAAACATAATCAATGATAAAAATTTTATTACCTGCTACAATAACAACAACAAACAGTTTTCTGTAATAATTTGCTCCGCCTAGTTGCACTCACATGATTAGTCCAAGTCGCGCATGCGCACTAAAATTTAAGGCGGAGCTTATATAAAAATTACGCAAATAAAACACAAAAGACAAACGCAATAAATATTTAAACATGACGAGGGGGATGCTGTCGGTGGGTTTTTGTGTGTTTGCACGCCTTTTCGTGTGTTCTACTCATCCGAAGTTAATAAGCAATGAAACTTGTTGCTCCGCGCCTATATACCTGCGCCCTGCGCTCATTAAAAATGCACGCTCCGAGTGAACTTACATCAACATTTCATGCAACAGTATAGCAAACAGTGAAACAATCGCGTGTTGAATTATTAACAAATGTCAAGTCGGATAATTTCGATTTGGTCATTAATACCGACAATGTTAATGGACATTTATATCAATTGCGGTGCGGCTGACTTTTGTGCCGCCGATAATGTATGAATTTATGCATCGGGCGAGTCGATGTGGAAAATTGATAAGGGCGTATTTTACGCTCGGCGCGTGCGAGCAAAAACCTATTACCGCGCTCGGGGCGTTCAATTATTGGCGGATAACGTGTGTTCCGCATCGACGCCGGTCAATTAACCCTCGGATGCTTCAATTAGTTTTATTTTTCAAATGACGGAAAAAATCTTTAGTTTATAGATTTCCAGTAGCAAAAACTTAAAAAATTAAAATTAAAAATTGACAATTTACTAATTTTCACATTTTTTCTAATTTTATTTGATTGACAATAGTTATTTTAATAATTTAGCAAAAAGAATTTTTTGAAAAATTTTTATTAAAAAAGTAAAAAAAATAGTAAATTACTTTTTAATGCGCATGCGCAGTAGATATAAATATACTCCTTAAATGAATATGCAGTTTATGAAAGTTTTTTATTGTTATTTATCATGGCAATTTTTTTTATTTACTCTCCTGGTTTCCTATCGCTTATGTTTGCGGTTTTTCTCATCTTCGTCGGCGTGCTCGCGCGCGCGGCGTCAGTTTCCATTACGCTCTGGAAATTACGTTTTATTGTTTGGCCCCTTGATGGATCGTCGCCGCACTTTTGTGCCGAGGCAGGTTTACGCGTTTGCGTCCATGCGGCCGCTTCATTTTCATCAGGGCCGCGCAATTCCCAGCTTAATTAGCGGAAAACGTGCCGGGGAAAATCTTCGCATTGATTTCTCCTCTGCTGACTTTGTGCGTCTCGTGTTTTTATACCTTTCAAAGTTTATTAATCTAATCAACGCAACATGAAATACTTAAACTTGGCGCAAACTTGGCGAGAAGGAAAAAACTCGTTGAATTACAAAAAAGTGTTTTCAAAGGCTGAAACTAGCTGAAAAGTGTCGACGATGATTCCGAGGGTTTGTCTGCCATCTATCCTTTCACTTCTAATTAAAGTGTGCATGCTGCGTTAGATGTAATTAATGAATTTAACTAATGAAACTGTGTCGTGACGCTCAAGTGTGGTTACATTAATTTAATGAAAAGCTTGATTAGTTATAATTTTATTCGTTACTTTATGCATGAATTTACTTTATTTTTATTTTAAACTGTAAATAATTGAGTTTTATAATAAATTTGCAAAAAGAATTAATTAAAAACGTTCAAAAACACCTGAAATAACTTCAATTAAAGTTTTATCGCTCCGCCCAGCGTGACGTACACTTAAACGGCGACCCTAACTGGTAAATACACTTTCCATCATCCAATTTTAAGGTTTTTTATATCAAATGAAAGAAAATTTAATTATCTATAAATATATTTTATTTACAGAATAAAATGCTGATTATTACCAAGAGTAACAAACCACAACAAAGATGTTAAGCCCGAAAATGCAGCGCAATGTGCGCGTGAATGAAAACCAACTGATAATGCTCTCCGAACGAGCCCACTACGACCACTCACAAGCCGGATACCTCCACAAACGCTCAGCGGACAACAGCAAATGGCAACTGCGGTGGTTCGTCCTTTACCAAGTACGTAATTAATTAGCACCCACTCCCAACTAGAAATCACTGAATTTGAATACCCTCAAGCAATAGCGTGCTTAAACGTTTAAAGAATGAATATTTGTAACATGAGTAGATGTTGTTTTGTTAATTGGGATTGTTGTCACACACCGGTACACATTGTTAAATGCGTCGTAACAAATCGCTCCTGTCTCGCGTTCGGCAAATACAGCATATTTTCACAGGGGCAAATAATAGACGTGCATTTAGTTAATTGCTGGCAAGCGCGCAATTGGCGCGCATAAATTACGCTCGGTGGGTGCTAAACAACGCGGCAAATTAGCGCACAAACAACAAAAAACGATTTCCACCTTAAACACACTGTATATATGCATGTGTTGGGTGTGTAAATATCCGAACGTGAAATATCACGTAGCGAGTACACTGAGTAAACATTTGACGCATCGTGACAGTTGAAATTTACAAACGTGGATTTTTTTTTTTTTTTGATCTTTCAAGGTTAAAAGTTAGGGGATGAAACGGTGAAAATCACGATTTTTGCGTTTTGCGCGTTTGTGCTTGACGGTGTGCGATTTATCGATAATTGCCACTTCAGCGACGGCGTTAAGCCGGAAAAAGTAAATAACCTTCGCGTATCCTTCGCCCGCATCCTGTTATCCGGCGCGCATCCATGTTTCTGAACAAATTACGTGCTCTAAAAATAAATTACGTTTTTACCAATAAATATATTTATATAACAAAATTATTAAAATAAATACGCAATAAATTCATTTATATTTTAGCAAAAAAAAGAAATTACATCTAAATGTCAATTATTTTAAAATTAATGTTTTTACCTTTCAAATTATTTATAAATTAATAATTTCGCGTATATGAATAAAATATTAATTAAATTTTCTAATGCAAAAGAGAAATCGTTGGAATTTTAATTATAAGCCGAGTTATGGAAGTTTAAAGTACGTAATATTTGGTTATGTACCAATTGTATGTATAATGTGTTGCCTATCGCATCAATTATTTCCACTAGTGTTTCCGCATTGACGTCGCCGTGTTTCCGGTCGCGCGCGGGGATTGAGAGTATTATTAGCCCGCTCAAGTGCGCCCGCGTACGCTGATCCTGGAATTTCGGGTGGCGCGGCGTAACGCGAAGAGAAACATGACCTAAATATTTCAAACGCGTTTATAATACCTCGAGTTGCCGAATTTCCCAGCAGGACTATGAAACGCGACTACAAAACAGACCGCCGCAAGGAATACGGGAGCAGTGCACAGGACTATAGAGTGCTTGTGTAGAAAAAAAAAAGGACAAGGTCGCGATACGCGGAAAAGTACAAGGTCCTTTCTGGTGCTCGTTTTGCAGAATTTGCTGTTCTACTACGATTCGGAGAGCTGCCATCGGCCCAGCGGCGTCCTGCTCCTGGAGGGCTGCTATTGCGAGCGGCTTATAAGTCCTGGGAATACTTCCAAGACTAAAGATGGCGGCGAGAGACAGGTAAAACTTGCTTTGCGTAATTTAAAGCGGATTAGTTCAATCTGGTTTCTACATGGACAAAATATGTTTACAATTTAATCCTGGAGACAAGCCATGTTCGATTTGTATCAAACTTTCGGGATCCACTAGGGATAAGTTAAACTATAACCTAAAATTTATTCCAATAAAATATTACTGATATATTTTGAAATATTTAAAGTTAAAGTTGACTTTTAGTAAAAAAAAAATTTGCAAAAAAATATTTTTTTTGGCAAATCGAATAACTCCCCCATTTTTAAATATATTTGGACAAAATTTTGGAAACTGATAAAGGATAATGTATATTATTATCCTAAAAAAAGAAAATTTTAAAATTCTTGCTGGTTCAAAAGATATTTGAGACTAAATTTAAGATTCCAAAAAAACAACGCAAAAAATCAATCATCCGAAGCATTTTTTGCAAAAAATACATTGATAAATATTCTTTTGTATCAAATATCAAGGCTCAAAGCAAATATTTTCCCCAAAATACCTAATTTAAAACCCCACATTCTTATCACTCGTATAAATGTAAAATTGGCAGAAAAAACGCGTGTGCTCCAGTTTCCACGTGTCTTTGACCCACTTTTTTCTGTACGCCCGCACGGTTTGTCTTGCCATCCCGCAGGCTTTTGATCCTCTCCCCTGGCAAGGTAAACAAATACCGGAAACACGCATCTCACGCACTGTGTGTCATCCGATTACGAGACAAACGAGTCAAAGGTAATAAAAGCATCAAACATTAACAATACCACTCGACGAACAAAGCGAGCAAAAATAGTATTTTCCGGAATACATTTCCGAGCATCGCCTCATAATTTATTGTTTATGCAATAAAATCATATTCCATGCATTATCCCGCAGGTTTCCCAGAAGTGACTTACAATTGAATACGAGTAGAATAAGGAAAAATTGAAAATTTGGACAGCTTCGTCGTAATGATTATTTTTTTCGCAGAATTTTATTCTCGTTCAAAGTCGAGCGTTCGAGTTGTAATAAATATATGTTTGTTCCTTTGTTATAACTCATGTCAACCGGTAAAGATATTTCAAACATTTTAGTATTCACAACGAATGTTGAGCGCTTTTGAAACGGGCTTTTTTCCGGACGACGGTTTGTGGTGTTTTTGAAGCGTGAATAATTTATGATTAATTTGGTGCTGCTCCCGGTTGTTGGAATTATGGTTTTAATGTTGCATTAGGTTACACCTAAACAAACATGTGGAAACCCTTCAACTTTATGCTTTTGTTCTTCAAAATGGTTTGATTTCAAACACTTTAAAGGGAAATTAAATTTAAAAAATTAAAAATAAGAAAAATTTTGCTAAAGTTTTAGTTTTTTCCGAAAATATTGCCAATAATAATTTTTGTTGATTAAAAATTTTAAATTTCATTTGATCTTTTGAATTTTAGACCAAAATATAACAATATTTTTGACAAAATTAAATTTTTTTGCCAAATTTACAAATTTTTTGAAAATTTTCTATTTTTTTCGCAAAAAGAAGTTTTCTTAGTTTAAAATTTTAAATTTCTCTAAATTTAAATCATTTTAAACCAAAATGAAGCAAAACAATTACCCAAATCAATTTTACCAAAAATTATAAGTTTTACCTTAATTTTTTGCTAAATTTACAATTTTTTGCAAAAATTTCACATTTTTTCTCCAAAATATTCCCGATACTAAATTTTTTGACATTTCTGATCCAATAGTATTGTTTCGCGATCTCATACCGAAGAGAAAACCTCCGCCAATACGACCTAAAAGCCCTCAACGAAACAGAATGCAAAAATTGGATCGAAGCAATCCGCGAAGCAAGGTAAAAACACCCCCCATCCGCCATAACCACCCCCAAAATTAACTAATACCAAAAATTAAAGTTTTAACAAACTGCTGCAACAAAAAGAAGAACTCGAACAAAAACACCTCCACCTGCTCCAGATCGTCGAATCCGAAAAAACCGCCAAATGGCAGTACACTCAACAATGCGAGGAGCTTGCATCCGAGATTAAAAAACTGCGCGCTGAAGTGAGTTCAAGGTTGCCACGCATTTTTCCTAAAATCCACCACTTTGTAAATTATGTCCTTTAGCTGTTTGCACTCAAGCGCGAATGGAAGCCGGCTCAGACCTATCAGTCCACCAGCAGCTTAGTGTCCTCCAGCAATGGCGCATCAGCATCCGGTTCCGCAGGCATACCACGCCAACTGGAACACGACAGTCTCGAACTGCGTAAGATCAAAAAGGTTCAGAGCTTCTTCCGCGGCTGGCTGTGTCGCCGGCGATGGAAACAAATCGTCGAACAATATATCAAATCACCTCATGCGGAAAGCATGCGCAAACGCAACAGTCTTGTATTCCGCATGGTGGAAGCCGAAGAGGAATACATGGAACAAATGGAGGTGTTGGTATCCTGTTTCTTCAGACCATTCAAAATGGCCGCATCGAGTAAAAAACCACCGTGTACTCATGAAGACGTCAACTCAATCTTTCTAAACAGCGAAACTGTTTTATTTCTTCATCAAATCTTCTTGAAAGGTTTAACTTCGAGGTTAGAAAGTTGGCCAACGTTGGTCCTGGGAGATCTCTTCTCTATGTTACTACCCATGTTGAGTATTTATCAGGAATACGTCAGGAACCATCATTATTCTCTTCAGGTGTTGACAGAATGTAAACAATCAGCTCCTTTCTCACAATTGTTGAAACGCTTGGAAAACAAACCGGTGTGTCATGGTAGATCTTTGGAACAATTCCTAACCTATCCGATGCATCAGGTACCACGGTATATTATAACCCTACATGAGTTGTTGGCTCATACACCGCATGATCATGTTGAACGGAAAAGTCTCCAGAATGCAAGGCAACAATTGGAGGATTTATCAAGGCAGATGCATGATGAAGTCTCAGAAACAGAAAATTTACGGAAGAATTTATCTGTGGAACGGATGATTGTTGAAGGGTGTGATATCCTCCTGGATGTAAATCAAGTCTTTGTCCGACAGGGGAGTTTATTACAGTTGTCCAATGATAAACCAAGAGGGTCAAGGAGTAAGCTCAACTTTAAAAGTGAAAAGGAAGCTATTAGACAATGTTTTCTATTTTCGAATCATTTGATCATCGCTACGAGGTCTTCTAATGGGAAGTTACATCTTGTTCCTGATATAGGAAAAATACCCTTGGCAGATGCTTTATTAATTGAAGATCCCAGTGAAAATCCTGATGATGACGGTAAAATTTATTTTCAAATTTAAAACAAAAATATAACTAAAATTATAATTTTTGATGAAATGTTAGTTTCGTCAGTTTGCTCAGTTTCCAGCCAATCTTCAGGGATCAGCGAGACATCTCCCAACACTACGTATTTTCACAATCGGGATTTTAAGTTGATTGTTGAGTTAAAAACTGGAGGTGTTCAACGACAGGTATTTAGAAGTCATTTTATGTAAAGTTTGGTTATGTTGTTATGTTTGATGTATTGGGGGTTGCAGTCTTGTGTGCATTTACTAGCACCGAATATACAAGAGAAAGCCGCGTGGATTTCCGATATAAGTCAGTGTTTGGATAATGTGCAGTTCAATGATATGATGAGACCCAATATGTCTGAGAATAGTTCGATCAGTTTACCGCAATCGATGAAGAATGATCCGAAATTATTCAAAGATGAAGCTGATATCCGGTTTAGTAGGACTATGAATTCTTGTAAGGTACCACAGATTCGTTATGCCACACCGGAAAGATTACTTCAAAGACTTACTGGTATTTAATGAAAATTTTAGAAAATTTTTTAGGAAAAATTTGAAATTTTTGTTTTATGTTTGATAGATTTACGATTTTTGTCTGTGGACTTCCTAAACACATTCCTTCTCACATATCGAGTCTTCACCGACGGTGTGACTGTCCTGGAAGCTTTAAAGAGGGTTTTTTACAATCCGGAAACAGACCCGCAGGGATCCGTTGTGTCCCTAGAAGGATTTGCTAATAAAGACGAAAATACTCTACAACTATTCGAAGATAGACGCAGAAGTAGTGTTATGACCCCACGTAGAGTAAGTGGGGCGAGTTCCGTTTCCGGTTATGGTTCCGAAATGAGTGAAAGAGATAGATCTCATAGTTATGACTCACAAGGACATCGACATTGGAAGTCAAGTTTACACAAATGTAAATTTATTAATTGTAATCCCATAAATTATTTTCAATGAATATTTTACAGATGATGAAAATGAAGAAACTGCAAGGAAACTGCCCCCACCAATAATAAAACAAAGTCCGACGAAAACAACTACTAGACAATCAGATAACGGTAATGGTAATCACAAATCAATCAGTATTCGAGTCGCGGCTGATGTGGAACCCAATAAAGACAACACATATCTTGCTATACCCAAAGTGGCAACTTCTAGTAGCAGTGAAACCCTTACAGGTTAATTATCTTATTAATTATCTCCAATATTTTTATTTTTATTGGTTTTTAATCACTTTTCTTCAGATGCGAGTATTTTGAGTGCTCCTGGGTCTCCTAGTAAACTCAGCTCCAACACAATCGTAGCTACATCTCCTTCCGAAACAGTTGAAGACCTTTCTAACAAACCAGTGGTCCCACCAAGAGCTACTCAAGTAACAACTACTATAACCCAAGTTGTGGGAACTTCCACATCTTCTACAGTAACAGATTCTCCATCAAGAAGATCTGATTTAGTGGGTCAGAAGAGTATTCCTCAAGCATCGGTACAACCAATGCCTAAACCAACCCGGATGAGGTCAGAAATGAGTGACAACGAAAGAAAAGCTATTGTGAGAGCAGCTGATAAGCGGGTTGTAGAAAGGGCTGTTTCTGAAGACGCAGAAGATCACCCGGATGAATTGAATTTCTTTTATAACCCAGTCCATAGGTCATCTTGCGGGTCATCAAGGTCTTCATCAATAACACCGTCCACAACAGCCGCATTGCAGACCTACTATGGTTCAAGGAAGTCTATCCCTGAAGGGGAGGTTAGTGTTAGTGCCAGGTCTAGTTTCCAACATGATTCCCCACAGAAACCCAGCAAGGCTGGTGTGGTCATAACCTCATTCAGGCAATCAAAACGAAGGTACTGATTTTTTCAATTTTAAAGAAGAAAAATTTCATTTTTTTCATATTTTTCTTGATTCTAGGAGTAGTACGTCAAGTGCAGCTGCCGCATTCGCCATAGCAACTTCCGGTTCAAGCAACCCCCGAGATATGTCACCCACATCACATCCAGATACAAAACTAGGTGTTATCCAACAACAGGAAGAAGAAACTCGTTATAAAGAGAATGTTATCTCAACAGCCTGTACAATGCGAGTCCTAAATGTACTCAGGTATAAACCCCCACCCCTTTTATCCAATCAACCCTTAAAATAAACTTGTAATCAACCGGTTGGTTTGTTTGTCAAGACATTGGATATCCAAACACGCGCAGGATTTCCTATGTGATCAACGCCTGAAGAATCTCACGATTGAATTCCTAGATGACATCATCTACAGCCCCAATCTACTACCAGCGGAGCACAAGGCCGCCGCGCAGCTGCTGCGCCTGCTGACGAAGGAAGACCCGGAGAGCTCAAAAATCAATATCAACGAACTGCTCAGCACGCCCGTGACGGTAACGCACAAACAACAAAACCGAACCACTAGGGCTGTGTTGCGCCTAGTGGGAAATTAATTCGTAGGGATTAAGATTAAGAGGATCTTTGAAACTTTTCGTTGCAGACGCCGAACAGGGACAGCATCGAAACACTCTCCGCTCTTGAGATTGCCGAACAGTTGACGTATATTGATCATCAGATATTCATCGCCATTTCTAGCGAGTAAGATGATTTTTTTAGTTTTTAGGTTAAAAATTGTTAATAAAAATGTTTTTAGTGAATTTTTGGGGCAAGCATGGATGAAAACTGATAAAACAAGCAAAGCGCCTCATATTTTGTTGATGACGAAACGATTCAATGATGTATCGCGTCTGGTTGCTTCCGAGATCATCCGGCGGCCATCTTTGACTGGTAGAGTAGCCGCCATTGAGAAATGGGCGGCTGTTGCGGACATATCAAGATGTCTGCATAATTTTAATGGAGTTCTGCAGATTTGTTCAGCGTTTACAAACAGTGCGGTGTTCAGATTGAAGAAAACCTGGGATAAAGTTTCAAAAACTGTAAGTTTTTAACAACATAACCTAAAATTTATGTTTATAGTCTACTTTTTGCAGACAAAACAAACAATTGAAAAGCTACAAAACATTGTGTCCTCTGACGGAAGATTCCGGTCATTAAGAGATGCCCTCCATCGATGTGACCCACCTTGTATCCCTTATTTAGGGTTGTATTTAACGGATCTTAGTTTTATTGAAGAAGGCACCCCGAATTTTACCCAGGATGGTCTCTTGAACTTTTCTAAAATGAGAATGGTAATATCCTGCAACATAACCAAACTTTTAATAACATAACCTTAAATTCCAGATTGCTCATGTGATCCGTGAGATTCGCCACTTTCAACAAACCAACTACAAGATTGAGTTGATCCAGAAAGTGGCTAATTACTTACTGGATTGTTCCTTGCTCCTGGACGATGATGAATTGTATCAGATTTCGCTGGAAATCGAACCGCGCGCGTCCAGATTAAGCAACGCAGGTCTCTAGCACCCGCATCAAAGACTTTTCCCATTTTAACACACCGTGTTTAACAAATCAGCCAAAACCAATCAATTTTCTAACACATAACACTTGAGATTTTTCGCATTCGAGCAACTTTTAAGGTTAGATCAATCAAAGCCTGACTAGACACGGCTCTAACCTTAAAGTATTTAAAAAACGTTGACAATCGGTTAATATATGACGGGATTAAATGACTTTCACAAAAAAAAAACATTTTTGAAACTTATGAAACCAATCTTTAACGATACAACACCTTGTTGTTGATATACGAATACGTAATAGTTATACATTATCGTAGAACATTGTTTAGAGCAACTATTGTGTCAATTTCATTGTTTCTGGGTTGTACAGAATGGTTTTAAGGCGGTTTTGAGTTGGGGGTCGGTCCGCACTTGTTATTGCGCGTAAAACAAACTGTTTCACACTATGTACTTACGTGTTAATTGGATTAATTCTATGTTGAATTGAGTCTATGTGTGTGATACTGTTGCACCGTGTATTAATACTAAAACATATCAATTATAACCTAAATTTTTCGACAATATTGACAGATCATGTTAGGTTATGTTAAGTTTTGAAAAGTTTATGATGGTTTTTACTGTAACTTGTACAAATTGATCGTTTGAAGCCCTTTTGTCATGAAAACTCATCCATTAATGACTTATATTGTTGGGAAAAGGTCTGAAGCTGACAAAAACTTATTCTACGTGGATATTTCAATAAATACTGACAAATTAAGTTAAATATTACAAGAATTAAAAGAATTTGTTGTTAAAAATCAATTAAACCACTTTAAAATGTTAAATAATGCTGGAAAATGTGTTTTTTCTTCATTTTTTGTCAGATTCAGACCTTTAAATACAAAAAAAATCGCAAATGAAATTCTAATCGTTATAAAGCGCATATTTTCAATACACGTTTGAATGGAGAACAATCACTATCATATCAATGATTAAAAATAATTAAAAACTTTACAAAACAAGCGTTTTATTTAAAAACACATCATTTAAGTCTCTTTTTCCTCCTCTTCAAGCTTTATTCTTCTGAAATACTCATCTCTTTCATCTTTTGTTTTAAACTTAGCTTTCCTCTCAACATTTCTTACAATTGGTTCATTATCACTCTCTACAATATCCACCAACCCATTCTCATAATATGTAAGAGTGGCATTATCAATATTCTTAACATCTTTAGTCATTCCACCACCAGTTACACCCACAGCTAACATTTGCTGCTCTTTTATTCTGTCAATATAATCATCTAAAGCTTTAACTTCCTCATTTAAACCCTCAACAGATTTATCACAATATTCTACAGTCATTTTAACACTGGAGACAATGGAATTGTCTGCATACTTTAATTTATACTCTGAAGTATTCATTAAAGCATCTATTTCAATGAACTTACTCATTTTTGCTCGGCATTGTACTCTTGCATGCTCTGACAAAGATTTTATAGAACTAGAAGTCTGAGAAACATAGTTTATTTGTTGTAGAAGATCGTCACGTTCTTTATTTAAGCTGAGTAACAACTGAAATTAAAATAAATTATTGTTTTAGGTTATTTTTATTAAAAACAAGTGAATACCTTCTCAGTTTCTTCATTTAGTAGATGTAGTGGATCTTTTTGCGGTGATTGAAGCGAATTTTCGTCGTTTTCCAAAGAAAATGACTTAAATATTTGTGTGAGAAGTTCATTATTACTTGTAGACATTGTTTTAATAGCTTATTAAACGGTTTTAGCAGTTAAAATCGTTTAAACTTGACAAAAAGCATACAATATAACCTAAAAATTAATTTGCAAGTAAGAAAACTCAAAATACAGTGTGTACACTATAGTTTACATCAAATTTGAAGAATAATTACTTGTAAATGCTTAATATCATGATCATTTTACATTGTAAACTATTGGTACCATATTTCTAATACAAATTAAACATATCTTTTTATTGTTTTTTCTTTATTAACAGAAAAATAACGTTTTTTAACGTTTTTACAAACATTTTTAATGGATACACTCACTATAAAAGAACTTTCCACGTGTATTCTCGACGATGATCGTGTATACACGTTGACAATTGACAGCTGACTCGGCGTGTCAGAAAAAGTTCTTTTACTTCTCGTCTAGCCAGCTGCCAGCTTCGTCTCGTCGCAGTTTCTCTCAAAAAAGTAAGAAAACTCCTCATTTCCCTGCTAACTAATACAAAATCAGGGCAAACAATCAAGTACAATATCGACGATACCAAAAACTCACCCAACATCCGCGTTTTCTTTAAGAAATCGGCACGTGTAGCCAGTTAACCTCTAAATGGTTAATTTTATATAATAATTTACGTATAATTTGCGTATTTTTAGCATGGCTGCTCAGTACTTAGCCTTGGACAGTTTCTGGGTCGACAGATCCAACTATACGGAAGCCGAGCGGACCTTCTATGAAAGACTAGGCCATGTAAGTTAGCATTTTTCTTTCAAACTTGGTATGGCACTTCATTGGGGGTTAATCTCTTACTTGTACTCATCACACATGATTTATGGTGGTATAATTGCTTGAAAATCATGTCTGTATCAGTTGATATTGTACTTTAAATGCTTTGTTTGGTGTAGGAAACGTTAACACCTCTGGTTGCTGAATTTGTTAAGGCAAGGGAAACTATAAAAGAACTGAAGAGGCAAGCAAATGAAGTGAGTAATTATTTGCTTTACTTTATAGTATATTTTGTACACAGAGAAGAAGTTTTGTTTACATGTATTTATTTGATAATTCAGTCACTTTTGAAGGTAGTTCACTCATAGGTATTGTTTAGTAGTAAATTTACTCACTATCATAGAAAATGTTAAGTTTTATTAGCGGAAACATGAATATTTTGTGCTTTGTTCAGGCTGCTGATGCATTGGGTGATGGGCTTCCTATAAAAGAAAATAAAACTGATAACAATGCTGGGGTAAGGGTTAATGTGGCATTGTAGTTTTGTCCTGTTGTTAATTTCTTGTCGAATTTATTGCAAACAGAAACAGAGTAAAAAACAAAAACAGAAAGCGGCAAAAGAATCTAAAGAACAACCGCAAGCTAAAAATGCGAAAAATATCGCTGAGAAAAACGTGGTAAGCGTGCAAATCAAAACAAAATTATTTGGTATTTATTTTTCTTTAAATTATTCTTTCAACAATTGGTTTATTATTATTATTTGTTTCTTTTTGAATGCTTAGACAATTGTTTTGTGTTTGATTTCAATAGTAAAGTATTATTTATGTTAGGAACCTATTCAAACACCAGAAGTTAAAAAAGAAGAGGTGATTAAAGACTCTTCAAGTCAAAGTCAAGTTGTATGTGAACTTCCTGAAGTTGTACCTCAAGTTGAACCACCTACAATTGATAAAATAGAAGTCACGTCTAAACCAGATGTGGTAAGCAAATATTTGCTTGCAGAATGAGAAAACTGACAAACGGTTTTGATGTTGAGTGTATTTATGGTTAATAAAATTGATTTATGATTTAATAATAAATGTTTATTGGGTTGTTTTGTACTAATTTGTAGAGCATGATTATGTTTAACGTTTGTGTTATATTTTTTGTTTGGATGATGTTTTATTTGTGTTTTGAGTTGTTTTTGTTTTATTTTAGGGTTGCAACATCACACCTACCGCCATGGATTGCGAACCTGTCAAATTCCTTGAGAAGAAGATGCTTGCCATCACAGACAGTAAGTTTTATCATGAAAAGTATGCTAATTATGTGTTTTTACGCCATTTTGGGTTGAATTACATAAATTTACCTTGAATTCAACTTTTATCCCTTATTTTACACTCTTCCAGTTAATTTTTGAGGACAGAAAATAGCCTATTTGCTTTTTCTTGGTTACAATAATATCTATACAAAAATTTATCAAAATTGGTCCATTAGTTGATGCGTGAAAGCGTAACAAACATACAAACTCATTTATTATCTCATATATATCTTTAATTCACTCTGAAAATTACGTATATGTTAATATAAACGTTTGTAATTCCTTAGTGATGGCCAAAATCCAATCCCAACTTGAAGCAATGGACACACGCCTCTCCAACATGGAAAAAACCGTCGGCTGCCCCAAACAAGGCACATGCCCCGCTAAAATCGCCGTCTGCCCCGCCAAAACCTGCGCGAAACCCGCCGCCAAGCCAGCAGCCGCTGATGACGACGATGACGATGTAGATCTCTTCGGTTCCGAGTCCGAAGATGACGAAGCTGCGGCCAAGATCAAGGAAGAACGCCTCGCAGCATACAACGCCAAGAAGTCCAAGAAACCCGCCCTTGTCGCCAAGTCCAGTATCATTCTGGATGTGAAGCCATGGGACGATGAGACCGACATGCAGGAGATGGAGAAAGTCGTGCGTAAGATTGAATGTGATGGTTTACTCTGGGGCGCTTCCAAATTGGTACCACTTGCCTACGGCATCAAGAAACTGCAGATCAACTGCGTTGTCGAGGACGACAAAGTATCCATCGACTGGCTGCAGGAGACCATCGAGGCCAACGAGGACTACGTGCAGAGCGTCGACATTGCCGCGTTCAATAAGATTTAAATCGGCCGAGGTCATCATTCAATCATTTGTGCTTCTGCACTGTACCGGTGAAATTTTGTGAATTATTGAAGACTCGAGGATTCGATAGCAATGTGTTTTTTATTGTTTTTAAGATTCATTCGTTCGGATTCCATATTTAATATTTTTCGAAAATTTAATTTGTCAATAAACTCAACGCAACACTTTTAATCATGAATTTTTTTCTTTTTCAGAATTTGAAGTTTCAAAAAGAAGTAAAAAGACTTTCTCAGAAGTCTTTTTAGGTCCTGTACAACCATCTCTCCTTTAAATTTTGTTATTTTTACAAATTTCTGAATCTTCACTTCGAAAACACCCTGTATCTCCGGTACTAGTAAATTTATTTGGTGTGTCCTGACGTCATTCGTTAGTTTAGATGTGGAAGAGACGCCTGATGTGGAGTGGCTCATTATCAATTAAATATGATAATGAGGAAACTAATTTCTTTATTTTCAGAGAAATGTCGGATGTACTGAGATTGTGTCATGTAAGACATTTGCTTGCATATATTATTCAAGTAGGAATTACACATTTAACATATTCATGTTTTAGATCTAAAAATACACCTCATATTTTGACTATAAACAATTTAAAAGCCAAGTCGTACTGCGTACAAAACACGAATATCATATTTCACATCCTTAGGTCATAAATAACTGTAAAACATCTTTTCAGGTTATAAATATTCATCACAGATTTATTTGGCTATTTGTATATCTAACGGTTTATAAAACTTTTAAACTATTTGAATGTTAATTGTTGCTGAATTGCTTAACAAATATCAAATATGTATGCAAATCATTCAATTTTTGCTACGCACACGGCTGCAATTGTAGCATGGGTTGCATAACTTGCACACGCATGCAGTCCTAACCAAACATGCACACTATGCAAGCGCATCTTGTGTGTCTTGTTTTATAGCACTCGGTTAATGTCAACAACCGCAGTGTGTTTTAGTACGTATATTCGCAAAAGCGTTCTGCGTGCTGCACCCTATTATCTCATCATTGAACACAAATAAATCGTAAAATTGCTTTTCAACAATATGATACGATGATATTAAACTATGCGCGACGCAAATTCATTATTATACTCATCGATTGACAAATAAACTACTTAAACATTTTCTTCGAGATAAAATAATGAAATATCAATTGTGCAATGAAAACAAACGCAATAATAATAATAATAAGTAAAAGAGTCTCCATTTTGATAATATTTAAATGCATTACTTCAACACATATAGATTTTACTATTAAATTTAGTTCGTTAAATTGGATTAATGAAGCAGAGTTTATTTGTAGTAAAAATAATAAAATCGTTGATTCGAAATATTTTGGCAAGCAGAACCAGAGACTTGTAGTAAAGTTGGTAGATTATTATGACTCGACGGAATGTTTTCACTGGCACTGCGACAAATAAAACAATTGCAAGTTCCAATCGAGGACAGCGAAATGCAAATCGCGCTTGTTTTATGATATCAACTTAAGAAATTTTATTTACTTAACTAACAATAGCGTATTTCACATTTGCACACAGAATTTTATGCTAAATTTAGATAAAAGACTAAAAGTGTATTTTCTTCTTAATAATTCTTTCAAAGAACTAGTTTTTGATAACTTTTTATAACATTTTGTTTATTTTTTAAATTTTTATTTTATTTAATTTTGTTTTGTTTATAACTATGCAAATAATTGTTTGTTTGACTTACAATTTACAACATACATGAAGAATTTAATATGGAAGCAATGGGTAAAAGAATCATGATTGTATCTTTGTTCGTTTACGAGTAATTAATTAATAACTAAAACGTTGCAATTTAGTTATATTAGACCGGTATACTTGACTTAAGACATTTAACCTTAAAACCATACTTAAATATTAAATAAGTCAACTTTATATTATCTAACCTATAAATTCTAACCTAAAATATTGAAATATCACTCTAAAAGAGCATCCATTTTTGATTAGCACTCAAAAAGTCGTAAAACTATAAAACTAAACAGCAATAACCTCTTAGAATATTTTACAACGTGCAAAATCCCAAGAGGAAACATTTAAAGTTGCATAACCTGCATAAAAGTGATAAATGGCGGACATTTGCTTCCATTTTAAAAACCTGATCTTTATGTCGAGCAAATATTACACGCGTTGAGTGTATATGCACGTAGGTACATATTTTGTGTGCGACAAACGGCCGTGAACTAAAATTTTCTCTTTTTCATTTTATTTTTACTCCGACTCAAGGTAATCCTGAATTATCATCTTCAAAAGCAGTTTATGCATCATCAAAAAAGTAAAAAATAAAAATAATCATTAACTATAGTATAGGATATTAAATAAATCTGGAGTTAATTATAAGTCGTATGTTAAGAGTATTGAACACACTTTGTTTAATTAAGCGTCAATAATTTACAGTAAAATCAGTTCTGTTTAAATTTACATTACATCATAGAAAATTTTGAGGTGATTGCATCGAATGGCGTTTCATGAATTAATTTTTGGTGATGGGATTACCAGTTGTTGTAGCCGCCATAGCCGCTATAACCGGAAGTACCATAACCTCCATAACCTCCTCCATAACCTCCTCCGTAACCACCATAGCTATTTCCATAAGAGTTGCCGTAACCCTTACCGTAGCCACCGATACCTGCGTTTAGAGAGAAACCAATTCCGGAGTATCCGTTGCCATAACCATGACCATAACCTCCATAATTGTTGCCGTAACCACCATAACCGCCATAACCACCATAGTTATGACCGTATCCACCGTAATTATGGCCGTATCCGCCGTAATTGTGACCGTATCCCCCGTAGTTGTTTCCATAACCTCCATAACCGCCATAACCTCCATAACCTCCATAACCACGACCATAACCTGAAAGGGATTTAGCTGCAAGAAGACCAGCTCCACCTACAAGCGCGGTTTTAGCAGCAACAGCACTATAATAACAAAAACAAAATTAATTTTTATTTTAAATTAATAAAATTAAACAAAATGGCGTCTTTTTACCCAAGTCCCAACACGCCAATCTTCGCCAGTGCTAATTTCCCAATCAATCGTTTATCCCTAGCACCATCAGTGACATCCCCTTGGTATTGTGTGTTTTCTTCAATAGACGCCAAACTTTCTTGGTTGTTTTCTACATTTTGTTGCGATTCTTGAGCAATGGATACACCAACAGCGCACAAAAGCGCAACACACACCAAATATTTCATGATGACGATGGTATACTGAATGGTTGCTTCGAACTGATTAAAATGACTTAAAAATCCCTCGATTTTATACGCGCTGCTCCTTCTCCATGCGAGAAAAACTCGTTCCTTCCTTCGACTGTCATGGCCGCCGCGGCCCAAACCCACTGAGTGTGATCATTGAGAATTCCCACACCGGCTTCACATTTTATGTTGTACGTTTTGTGACTTGGCGACTTGCTAAATTTCCAGCAAGGACATCATGTGTATCCGTGTGTATGTGTGAGTAAATAGAAGACACTGAATAAGAACAAATAAAACACACACACACAACGCGAAACAAACGAACAATTCAAGTGGATATATTGCGACAATTGTCATGTTATCAGTTATTGCAAACTTTCGTTTGATTTGGTTGCTGTATAGGTGTATTATTCATTAGAATGCACATAACCTAGTTTAAAGGATATTTGACAACCGAAAAAAGAGGAAACGTGATAAAGTGATAATGTTTTAGTTTGGGTGCAAGGCACGTTCAGCGTTTTGGAATATGAGTGACATTGAATGACGTCCGTTTCCGATAGGCGCGAACAACAATTGAAAACTGCGAAATGATTGCGCCATTTTTTCGCGGCACGTGTGTGTGATGGTCTCCGGGGCGATGTTGAGATGTGAGATGTTGCTAATCGAGCAAATAGATTCGGTTTTCGGGCATCGACTTTGAGCGCGTAAGCGTAGGCTAATATTTGTTTTAATGGTTGTCTTTTTTGGGAGGTGCTAAGTGAATATGATGGCATAATGTAATTCACGAAAACACTAATGAATTACAATCACAATTATCGTGGTTTTTAAATTATTCTAGTTGGGAAAAAATCGGTTGACTTTGAAGAAGTTTTAAAGGCGTAAATATTAATATTTTGAAAAAATTTAAATTTCAGGAGATTATTTAACTTAATATCTATCAGATAATATATTTTTGTAAATATTTAATTATTATTTTAATTGTTATAAGCTTTTTAAAGAAAAAAAGCGCAAAATTAGGAAATTTTGTTAAAAAATTTATGCATCAACTTTAAAGTGTTATACATTTGTTTTAGGTCATATTAATGACAAACTAAAAATTTTATACGTTAGTTTAGTTAATTATCTATGTGATAAGACCATAAAATCTTATATTTAATAAAAATTTACCTTCTAAAATAAATTTTAAAGAAAAAAGCAAAAAATTAGAAAAATTATGTCAGAAAACTTAAGCATCAACTTTAAAGTGTTATAAATTTGTTGTTAGTTATGTTAATAACAAACTATAAATTTTATAGGATAGCATAGTTAATTATGTTTGTGATAACACCATAAAATCTTATATTTAACAAAAATTTACCTTTTAAAATAAATTTTAAAGAAAGAAAGCAAATTTTCTTGAAAAATTTCAACAATTTGTTTAAATCATTATAACTTTTTAACAACAATATTGATAAAAACAAAATTTACCCATCTTATTCTCTATAAAATTACCTTTTAAATACTGCTTCATTCAATATTCTACCACTTCTAAAACATGAGTTATTCCACTTTAAACATGTACTTTAAAAATTAACCGTTTCTGTTGTCTCTGCTCATAATCCCCATTAGTATTCATCATGATCTGTCAAAAACTCACAAAATACGATCACCGTAAATGCGCAAAATTTCCAGAAAACATCCGGGTGTACATGTGTCTCACAAGCCATAAGACAGGTTCACAACCTGTTTGTCCTCTAGGTGAAGAACACCTTTATGGCGCGCGGCGACATTTGAAACGAATTCGAAGCCATCCATATTGTTGAATAATTTTATTGTTGAATTAATTTACAAGCCAAGCATCGAATGCTAAACTCAATCGGTTACATGTGATACATTCTTGTGGTTTTTTTTTATTGAGGATAGCTTCAATGTCATCGTGAAATTTCATTCAAAAGTTCGAAATTGCAGAGAGTAGAGAGAAGAGAGTTAAAAGTCAAAGTCACGTCGAGCGTGAATCTCCTTGACATACGTGACATAACCGTAATACATTACGCATAAATTATTTAAAGCCGAAAAAGTTTATAAAGTTTACATTATTCACAAAATGAATGGTTTTGTGATATGATGGAAATATTCATGATATTATTCAGATATTGTTTATTTGGGTCATATCGATACCATCGAGATCAATAAAAATTAAAAATGCATTAATTCGGTTAATATACAGGGTGTTTAGTATTTTTATATACTTTTTTATTGTTTTTTATGTTTTTTTGAATAAATATTAAATTTTATTTATTCTAGAAGCGAGTGCTGGACGGGAAAAAAGATGTAAACTTCAAAGAATAAACAGATGAGTTGAAAAATGCTTCCAGACCTGTTTTTGCTCGCGTTGACGTTTTTTTCTTATTATTTGTGCATGGTGCAACCGGCATTTTTATTGTCTGCACTGCGGTGGTGTCCTTGCAATGAAAAACGATCGTAACGAACAATCAGTGTTTCATAAAGCTCTTCTTACAATGTAAAATATACTCGTAAAGACAATTGAGTATTATTCAATTCGATGGTATAAGAAGTAGTATTAATATGTAGTTAGTATTGTGTGTTGCATATACTCGCAGTCTGCTTGTTTTTATTTTGTGTTGAGAAAAAACTTATTATTGCACATATTATGTAAACATTACGGACGTCATAAAAACTGTTTATCAGTTCAATAATGCACGTATTATATTGGTGTGGAGAGTGTTATCGCTGCGATAAGAACAGCTGCTCAAATTCAGTTTTAAAATTGAAAGTATAGTCGCAGCATGGTGGAATTTAAATGAAAGTGTTTAGTTTTTTGTTGATTATTCATAAACTATTAGTGATAAAGTTGTGATTGTTTTAAAAATATGTTTAGATTTAAATTCTGCATCAACTACATAAAAATCATATTTGTGGATTAATTAGATAATAAGTTATAAACAATTAAAATTGATTTTTGAAATTTTTTTCATATAAATTGATAAAAATTGCTTTGTATCTTTTGATAATAAAATGTTATAAATTAAATCTTTTTATTATACTATGCAGCATTTAATACTATATAGATTGGTGAAGAATTTGTTGATTTAAAGTAATTAGTTTTTGAGTAATTAATAATTTAGTAACCTAAAGCATTATTTGTTTTATATTCGCGACGTGATGGTTTTTATGGATAAATCAAAAACTATTTGTGCTATAGTTATAATTCTTTCATAAATATATTCAGAATTAAATTCTATATCTACTATGAAAAATTCATATTTATGAATTAATTACACAAAAAGTTATAAACAATTTAAATTAAATTTTTAATATATTTTAAAAGAAATTATTACAAATCGCCCTATATCTCTTGATAATACCATATAATCAATAAAATCTGATTACAATACGACGCAGAATTTAATACTGAATAAACTGATGAAGAAATTATTGATTTAAACTAATTACTTTTCTCGTAATTCGCAATTTAGTAACCTAAAGCATTATTTGTTTAACATTCGCGCCGTGACTATATAAACACGTTTCCACAGTGACTTCCTGTGATTCCCGCGTTTAATTATCGCACAAACACAAACATTTACATAACGCAGCCGCGCCTCGTGTGTTTGTGTTGTTTTGCTTAGTTCTATTCACAATACGCATATTTTAATAGGTAGACACGGTGTGGTACTTCATTACACGTCCATAAGTCGTCAGGTTCAATCGATCGCGAGTGCTCGATGTGAACTAGCCATTCAATATCAACATATCATCAACATTGTGCCGGAGGTTAAGCCGCTAAACCGCCGACTAAAATTAAAGCTTTGTGCTTTCAAATCACGTGCACAAAGCGAATCTCAAGTGAACTGTGAACTTCAACACAACACCTTTTTGATAATAATAGCCTTGATTTTCTGATAGGCGATTGATGCCCAACTGTTTGGCTGTTAACCTAAGAAAGCGTTTTGTGTGCGGCAAGTTGGCGCGCTTTTTTATTCGTTGCTGAAGTTGCAGGGAGTTGTTCGTGAGGGTAGCGAGGCCTACTACCCCCCTCGTGCCAGGCACAAAGGGTTACGCCGTGCTGTTACCGCGTTACCGGTTTGCCAAAGTTTGATACTTTTGATAGCGGACTGCTTTTTCGGCCCTTTGGAGTCATGGCGGTGGATGGCATTGATCTAGTCGGGTGCGAATTCGACTGCAGCATGGACGCGTGCTTCACGGCGTTTGATAAGAACGGGTAAGTCAGCTAGAATCAAGATTAAGTCGAGAAGCATGTTTGACTTACTTAAATCATGCAAGCGATAGTTTTTCGCTGATAACTCCTAAACTAAAAAAGATACAATAACAAATTTTACATCAAATTATTCATTATTAAATTCTACATCTAATTATCTAGAGATTTTTAAAGTATCACATTTTGTTTAAAAGTTATTTAGGTTTTTGTAATAATTTTTGAAAATTTAATAAAATTATTTTAATAGCCTATAATTTCGGTTGTAATAACAAATATGACTTCATATTTGATGTGGTAGATGCATAATTTAATACTAGATATATGTATGAAAGAATGAAGATGATATCATGTTTTGTTATTGAGTTATTAATTAAAAACTGAGAGAAATCATTTTTGGTTGCGTCGAGTCATCGCTTTCATTACGCGCAGCGGTCTTAACCGCGCCGATACAAACTATCACTCAGTTATTTCGTCATAACTTTTAAACTAATAAAGCTAGGATGATAAATCTTTCAGAATTGGATTTCATATTAAATTCCGCATCTAATAATGCAAACATTTTATTTATAACAATATTTTATTATTAATTATTCGCATTTAAACTTGATTTTTGTATTTTTTTAATAAAATCAACTTCAACACCTTGTAACTTTTTTTGTGATAACAAATTTTATTAAAAATAACTTCAATATGATTTAGAATTTAATACAGAAAATATTTATGAAAGATTTATAAATGTACCTCTTTTCGTTTTCGAGTTATACCAAAAAAACTACACAAAAACACAATTTTTCCTTTTTTAGACACTTATTCTTAACTTATGCACTTTCTCGCACACAAAAACAAATTAGTCGCACTGTAAATATTTTCTACGTTATTATAATTAATTGCCAGTTGTGCTTGTCGCTGCAAAAACAGATTTGCGCTTTGTCTGCAAAGTTGTGCGTTCGAAATGCACAATTAAAGTCGCATTATGAGGATTTATGAGGGTTTGGCAGAGTTCGCAGGTTGAGGTTGAAGCCGCGCGCGGCTTGTTACCGGCGTTAATTACGAACAATCGATATTTGCATATTACGTTCCATGATTACCACCGAATTGCATGATTACTGCGCGTCAAATCACGCTTCATGTCTGTTCGATTACAATTTCACCGGTGCTTGGGTGCAATATTGCGAATTACTGTCGCAGCGCAAAGCGAAAGTCGCAATCAACAATCAATTCTTAATTACGAATTTATTACACACTGTATATTTTCGTAAATTAATATAAATTGATTGAGTTGGGTCACACATGGTTGATTTTTTGCGGTAAAACGTAATTGTTTGATTTAACAATGATTAATTTTATTTAAACCGCACCTTTACTCTTTTATTAATCTGTTCGTTTAGTTTTTTGTTAATTATTCAACTATTATACTACTATAACTACTATCAACTATATAAACTATTTGTGATAACGTTGTGATTCTTTCAAAAATTGATTTAGAATTAAATTCTGCATCCACTACAAAAAATTCATATTTGTGGATTAATTAGATAATAAGTTATAAACGATTAAAGTTGATTTTTAAATTTTTTTAAAGAAATTACTACAAATTGCTTGGTATCTTTTTATAATCAAACATTATCAATTAAATCTTTTTATTGTATGATGCAGAATTTAATACTAAATAGATTAGTGAAGAATTTGTTGATTTAAAATGATTAGTTTTTGAGTAATTAATAATTTAGTAAACTAAATCATTATTTGTTTTATATTCGCGCCGTCACTATTTTTGCTGATAATTCGAAAACTATTTGCGATAAAGTTGTGATTCTTTCGAAAATGGGTTTAGAATTAAATTCTGTATCCACTACCTAAAATTCATATTCATGGATTAATTTGATAATAAGTTATTAACAATTAAAGTTGATTTTTGAAAATTTTTTAAAAGAAAGTAATACAAATTGCTTTGTATCTTTTGATAATGAAATAATATCAAATAAATCTTTATACTGTATGATGCAGAATTTAATACTAAATAGATTAGTGAAGAATTTATTGATTTAAAATAATTAGTTTTTGAGTAATTAATAATTTAGTAACCTAAAGCATTATTCGTTTTATATTCGAGCCGTGATAATTCAAAAACTATTTATGTTAAAGCTATGATTTTTTCGCCAATATATTCAGCATTAAATTCTACAACAACAGCAAAAAAAATCACAACAATGACTAATTTTATTTAAACCGCACCTTTACTGTTTCATTAATCTATTCGCAGAAAGAATAAAAATACAAGATTACATCATGCAACAATATTGAGCGTTTGTGATGTTTAACTCCAGCCGGTTTTTACACTTTTGATTCCATTTTGAATTTTTTAATTAAACTCAGTTTGCGCTTGTTATCCTCCGGCTTTCGTGTGTTAATTGGACGCGCCGCCGGAAACGCAAACACAGACACAAAAAAAAACTTCCGCTGCACGCGAAGCCACCAACAATGGCAAGACCGAAAACAAAAACGCCTAAAACTAAATTTAAACACAAAACACTTTAAATTACAATACGCATGCAACAACCCACATAACCTACAATACATTACATCAACCTAACCTCAATTGTCCACTATTATTCCAGCGATGGAAAATTAGACATTGACGAATTTCGTCTCATCACGCGTGCGTTATTCCGAAATGACCGTGGAAGAATCTACACGCTGGAAGAAGAAAAACTCAAGGAGATCTTCAATGTTTTCGATCAAAATGGCGATGGATACATTGACATCGACGAATTTACATTCTGCTGGAATCATTGGATTAAAATCGTGAGTCAACATAAAAATAGAAATAAATTGCATTAAAATTCCATTACCGACGGAAATTGCATTATCTCACGTAGTCTGTGTGCAAACCACCCCATGGTAAACAACCCCTAACCTTTAAAAGCAAGTTTTATTGAATTAATTTACTTTTATCTACTTTTTTCCATTTCTCCATAGATTGTGCGCCCAATCGCAGTGTTTTTAATCATCGACGTCCAAAATGACTTCATAAGCGGCACGCTAAACATCAGCAATTGCTCAGCTCAACAAAATGGTTTTGAGGTTATCGAACCGATCAATCGCATATTGGAAACAGTGCAATTCGACGCTGTCTTCTACTCGTTGGATTGGCATCCCAGTGATCATGTGTCTTTCATCGACAACATAAAACTGCGAGAAATCCATCCGGAGAGTCCATTAATGGCCGACAACGCAAAAACCTACGATACGGTCATTTTCGCTGGGCCACCACCGATGAAACAACGTCTATGGCCGCGACATTGTGTGCAGGACACGTGGGGATCCGAACTACACAAAGATTTAAAGGTTTTTATGTTTGTTATTACAGAAAAAGTCAAAACATTTGTCTAGGTGATTTGGTTTTTTTGGCGCGCCGCCATTCGACAAATTGAACGTTTTGTGCGCCGCTAATGGCGCCACCTTTGTTGCCACGTGGCGTATCATTAATCATCAAAAATCAAAAAATACTTTTTAGTCGGTGCTAAAAAGGTCAAAAGGCTTTCGCTTTTCGTATTAAAAAATGCATGCAGGGTTGCGTCGAGTGTCTCGAGTGCGAAAAAGGTCTAGTGGCTGTAAATCAACTAGAGTACTGTGTTTTTTTTGCAATATTTAAGAGAACAATGAACCATACGCATATACAAAAGCACCAAAAAATATACAGGGTGTTTCTTCAAATTTATCAACAAAAAAATTACTTTTGTTTAACTTATAATTATTTCACCATTTCGCTTTATGGAGATAAATATTTGCACAGATAAATCATATTTCCGTCGGTTGGTTGTCTGCGTGGAGACAAATCGATGATCTTATTTTTCGGCGCCGCATTTCTAGCATTTCCAAACGCATACAAACATTCCGTTCTATTTTCAGTCGCTTACGCCGAAGAGAATGTCTTTTCGGTTTGTTTTGGATCTAATTTTACCGAATTTATTGCGATATCTTTATATTTTGGCAGGTATTGAATAACGCTATCAAGGTGTACAAAGGCACTAACCCCGAGGTGGATTCCTACTCGGTGTTCTGGGATAATAAAAAATTAACCGAGACGACGCTCAGTGCGCAGCTACGCATGAAGAATGCGACGGATATTTATATCTGCGGGTTGGCATACGATGTCTGTGTGGGTATGTAATAGATAAAAATAGTTTTTATGTCCGCCATTTTTTTTTTCTTCAAAAATTTTTGATTTTTTTGTTTTTGTTTTTTGTTTTAGGGGCTACAGCAGTGGATGCTTTAGCAATTGGTTACCGTACCATATTAATGGATGATTGTAGCCGTGGAGTGGATCTACTCGACATTGAGAAGACGAAGAACACGGTGGTGAAGAACAATGGCGTGATTGTAAACTCGGATCAAGTCAAGGCGATGGTCGAGGGGCGAGATCGACGCCCGGAACTCGGGTATAAACTCGCCATGGAGCTGAAAGCTAATTTAGTTTCGTCATAAATTTAGAATCTTGCCTTACAGAAGAAAAAAACAACAGTATTTTTAGGTTAGGTTAGGTTATATTAGGTGATAGATGCGTTTACTCTTGGGTTTTGTTCTGTGTTGTGTGGCCGAATAAAGAAATTAGTTTTACATCCGTTTTTCCGCCTCTGGTAATTACGCGCCGAGTGTGCGAAGGGAAATTGGTGTTTGGCATGCAAATGTCGAGAGGTGGAGCGAGGTTAATAACGAAATCTCGGCGAGCATCACCACCCCGTACCACCTGGTACCACACTGGTACTGAACAAGTGAAAAACAAACACACACACACATATATTAGGTTCTAGGGTGTCGTTCTGTGGAAAGTCCTGCAGCGTTGCTTCACCTGCAGGAAGAGAGGGGATGTGATTCCGTGCCGCAGGAGCGGATGACGTCACGCCAAACACGTTTGACGTCATTGAATGGGGCAGGGACCGTTGGATAAAGACACAACTTTTTTTGTTTTTTGTTTTTTGAGTTAAAGCAGGTCACTATTACTTCTTTTCTTTTCTTTTTTTTTTTTGTTTGTTTGTTTGAGGTTATATTCTGTATTTCCCACGAGGATAATATTGCATAAGCTGGAATTGTAGCTTACAACGATTTCATTCCTGGAATATTATGTATGCCCACGACCTCCTCTCGCATTTGGGTTATTGGGGAACCTGGCGGCTGGTGGGGAGAAGTCCCGGGCCGTGCGCGACGCTCGCGACGCCCGCGCACACACACCGTCCGACGCCGCGAGGCGTTGATCAATACGCGTCCGCATCTCCGCGCTCTCGAGTCGTCGCCGCCGCCGCCGCCACCGCCACCAGCCGCCATCCGTGCGCCATCCTCACGAATTGTATCCTCTCATCTCTTCGCGATGCAGTGAGGCCATCGCCAGCGGGCAGTGTGTGCGTGTCGCGCGCGCGCGAGTGGTGTGTGCGTGCACCAGGAGTTCGATCGGAACGAGTGGTGACCGGATGTTGTGGTGGTGGTGAACAAGACAACGACGACGCTCCACGATGCACCTACACACCCTCTTTGTCATCGTACTGCATGTGCTTCATTTCTCATTGTAAGTCATTAGTAATTTATATAAAACTTAAATAAAAATTTGTTTTTTGATGTTTTAAAGCTGTGCAAATGTCAAAGTCAACTTCCGCGAGAAAGAGAAGGAGATCCTGGACCAGATCCTTGGCCCGGGACGGTACGATGCACGCATCCGACCCGCCGGCGTAAACGGCACAGGTGAGTCCCCCGCCTTTATCACTAAAAAAACGCCTTTGGTTTCAAAAATTTACCAAAAAAAAAAAAAACAACCAACAGATTTTAGTTTTGTGGTGGTTTTGTTTTCTTTTGTTTTCTCTGGTTTTGTTTGTTTTGTTTTTGGAAGCCTCGTCTCATAGGTCTCCGCCCAGCGAGCATAAACCTAGCGTAAACCAATGCTCGATCTGATTGTTAACTCTCTTGTGTCTTGTGTCCATCTCGCCACAGATGGGCCGGCCATCGTGCGAATAAATCTCTTTGTGCGCAGCATTGCGACGATTAGCGACATCAAGATGGTAAGTGGCGAGCACCCGCGGCATCGCAACTAACCGATATATAAACTATTAATATTAAAATAAAAATTCTTACACAAACCAATACCGTTCACGTGTTCAGTATGAGTTTGTAATGGAGTAGGCTTAGGAGTGACCCGCTTCAATCCAACCCAACAACACAAAACCTAACCTCAATTAACAACTACTACGCTAAAAATAAACAAATTCAAGTTGGATTGAAGCGGGTTGTAGCTGCAGTAGGTGAAAGTGATACATGACATGATTAGTTTTGTGATATGATTGCTGAATGCGTTTCTCTCCCCCGAATCGCGGGCGCTGATGATGATGATTGAAGGTAGTCGCAGTCGCTGCTCACCGCCGCCCCAAAAAAAAAACATAAGTGTGTGCTGCGTCGCTCATACCGGTGCCGGTGTAGCCTCATTGCCAAAGAATCAACATTCGTTTCCGTTACTGTCCATCTCTCTATCTACTTCTTCTTCTCTTCTACTTCTTCTTTAACAACAACAACAACAGCAAAAAAAAATATCCGTTGTTGACGCTATGCGGATTTGATGTGCAAACTAATGTGTGGTTCTTTTCACCTCGCCAGATGGCCCCGCTATTGTCAGGGTCAACATATTTGTGAGAAGTATCTCAAAGATTGATGACGTGACCATGGTAAGTGGCTGTTGGCAGCAGGGAATGACTAATCTAATACGATACATATATAAATATATACAAATACCTCTAAATATATATACATATTGATATTATAGTGTGTGTAGTGCCATGAATTGATTGATGATTTGATTATTTGATAATGATACTGATATGGTAGATTAGCTCATCTTCTCATCTCCTGTTCGGGGGCGGGACGGCGTACGTGTGTGCTTTCGGTGTTTTTTTTAAATCCACACCAAAACAATTCTATCTCTTTCATCATACAACAACAACAACAACCCCCCTTGAATGGCAATATATATATATATCTTTCATCGGACGTGTTTTTGATCATCCAAGTTTGTTTATGTTTTATGTAATTGACATTGATATGATTTATGCCCAATGCGAGACGTGATTGGGGTCCAGTACCAAGTACCTCAGTCAGTAATGAGCTGTTTGTGTTCTTTCTCTTCATCAATGTCTCTCTGCAAGACATAGGCGACGGGCCGACGATCGTATTCATCAACTTCTTTCTGCGTTCAATCAGCAAAATTGACGATTACAAAATGGTGAGTCGTGGGCTTTGCCAGTCATGTCAAGTATTTGGCACTTCGCGGGCGCTAATATTGTACATATATCTATGTCACCCACTTGTCACACATTCTTGTCTTATTCTTGATCAAGCGGATTCACTCATCACCATCATCATCATCAATCATGTACCAAATCATTTTTATCATCTCTCACGCCTAATTTTAAGACCAACAAGTGTACAAAATATTACTAACTGTACTAATTGCCGATCGGTTGCGTTCTCTCACGACCTGCACAAACTGGGGGTTGGGGAGCGGAGGTGTTGCAATGAGGGGCACCAGCACCAGCGCGAGCATGCGGTGTGGCGCTGCAGCCCCGGCGACTAACACGCGGTGTGAGCTGTGCATGACCTATTTTTCTCTCTATCGCTAGAAACTGTTTTTTACAACCAAAGCATTTACTTACCTTCTACCAATCAACCAAAAGACAAAGTGTAGATCTATGTGTACCTTTACTTTACTTTAACTATTTGCACTTTTGCTAGAGAGCAAATCATAGAAATTAGCAAAGCATTTGTAGATGTTGTTCTTGTTGATGTTGATGCATGCGTACGCCGTTGCATGGTATGCAATCCTTTTCACACACCACGCTATCGGAAAGCATACCTCGAATATGAGCTGATGCAATGTGGGTTGCAGGAGTACAGCGTGCAGTTGACGTTCCGTGAGCAGTGGCTGGACGAGCGGCTGAAATTCAACGACTTTGGGGGACGCCTCAAGTATTTAACTCTCACTGAAGGTAATCGGGTATGGATGCCTGATTTGTTCTTTTCCAACGAGAAGGAGGGACACTTTCACAACATTATTCTACCCAACGTTTACATTCGCATCTTTCCATATGGATCAGTACTCTACAGTATAAGGTAACCTATGATAACTTTAGTTTTCTTATTTTAACCTCACTTTTTTTTTATTCTTAGAATATCCCTAACGCTTTCGTGTCCTATGAATTTGAAACTCTACCCACTTGATCGACAGATATGTTCATTACGTATGGCAAGTTGTAAGTAAACATAACCTTTTTTTAAATAACCTAAAATTTAAAATAAAATTTTTGTGGTTATGTAGATGGTTGGACCACAGATGATTTAGTCTTTCTTTGGAAAGAAGGTGATCCTGTCCAGGTGGTGAAAAACTTACACCTACCACGCTTCACCCTAGAAAAATTCTTGACTGATTACTGCAACAGCAAAACCAACACAGGTACCATCCCCCATTTTTAAACATCAAACCCCCACTTAAAAACCAATTCTAACCTATTTTTATAGGAGAATACAGTTGCTTGAAGGTAGACCTCCTCTTCAAGCGTGAATTCAGTTACTACCTGATTCAAATCTACATCCCTTGCTGTATGTTGGTCATCGTGTCCTGGGTATCCTTCTGGCTCGATCAAGGAGCTGTACCAGCACGTGTATCATTAGGTAATTCTATCACCACCCCTACTTCCCAAAAAAATAAAAACACTAAATTTTATGGTTTTTATGGTTTAGGTGTGACCACTTTACTGACCATGGCCACACAGACATCTGGAATCAACGCATCACTACCTCCAGTCTCATACACGAAGGCCATCGATGTGTGGACAGGGGTATGTCTCACGTTTGTATTTGGGGCGTTACTGGAGTTCGCTCTGGTGAACTACGCATCTAGGTCGGACATGCATCGGGAGAATATGAAGAAACAAAGGAGGCAGTGTGAATTGGAACATGCTCAATCAATGGATGCCACTTCGGATCTGCTGGATACAGATAGCAATGCTACTTTTGCTATGGTAAGTCATAATTTGGGAGAAAATCAATTTAGGTTAGGTTAAGTTAGGTTTGGTTAGGTTTAGTTAGGTTAGGTTAGGTTAGGTTAGGTTAGGTTAGGTTAGGTTAGGTTAGGTTAGGTTAGGTTAGGAAATTCGGGAAAAAATTTGATGGTATGGTATAGCAATGCTACTTTTGCTATGGTAAGTCATAATTTGGAAGGAAATCAATTTAGATTAGGTTTGGTTAGGTTATGTTAGGTTTAGTTAGGTTAGATTAGGTTTGGTTAGGTTATGTTAGGTTTAGTTAGGTTAGATTAGATTAGATTAGATTAGGTTAGGTTAGGTTTAGTTAGGTTAGATTTGGTTAGGAAATTTGAGAAGATAATTTGATGGTATGGTTATTCCCTTGTTCCAGAAACCATTGGTACGTCATCCAGCTGATCCAATGAGCTTAGAAAAAGCGCGCCAGTGTGAAATCCACATGCAACCACGTCCGAACTGCTGCCGCACGTGGTTGTCCAAATTCCCAACACGATCAAAGCGCATCGATGTCATTTCGCGCATCACCTTCCCGCTGGTGTTCGCCCTCTTCAACGTCATCTACTGGTCAACCTATCTCTTCCGTGAGGACGGCGAGGACTCGTAAACAACTCGCCACTTCCCCCACTCCCCCAAAACTCTATAATCATCCTGCAATCATCCGAAATCCGATTCTGTTCAGAGAATATTGACGTATCCCACAGGACCTTCGCACTCAATTACTCATCGTGTTTACCGTCGCGAAGTTGTAGACTCTGCGTGCGTAGAATGCTTAGTCAATTGATCAAATCACTACTTAACGCCAGAAATTAATGTTTTTTTATTATATTTAAGTTTTTCGGTGGAGATTTAGTAATGATGATGTAGATATTGAATCAAATGCTTATACAGGGTGGTGTAGTTTATAAAACAAAACACAAGAAAACCAATCTCCGAACTGATCAGAGCCGCCATTAATACACGAGCTTTGTTGACGACGCCAATGACGCTCCTAAGTTCCTAAAAACTCAATTTTGATTTCGAATCGAATTTTAGCCTAAAATCGGAACCCTGTACACATAATGAATACACACACTCTCGATAAAGAAGAACTGATACATGCGCATGCGCAACATGCTCAGCCACTTACACACCACACACACACACACAACACTTACTCGTATAATATACTCGTATTCTCGTCTACGGCCAACATTCATGACTACATGTGTAATTATAATTCGTGTGTAAGACGATTGAAGTGTTTTTTATCTCTTATATATAGGTTTGGCCTTATCAACAGATTTTATATGAAGACAAAGAAAGCGACACATTCTCGACCGATACTTAAGACACATGTCTATATAAATATTATATATCTATGTTTATGATGATGATGATGATGAGGATATAATCGATGTTGTTTTGTTTTCATCGCGGATTGAATTTTTAACGATTGTTTCGAGTAGCGTGTCACAGCAAGACAAAAAAATGATTTATATATATATGAAGATATAAAAGAATCTATATAAAGAACACATATTTAAATAAAGATGACGACGATAAGGGTTCATGTGATTCCAGAGTATTGGAAGTTATGATAGGAAAATATTTATGGCGAAGAGGTACAAGATGAGGTTATGTAGCGTACACTTAGAGTGAAAAACCTTCTCTCTCTCTCTTTCTGAATCCATCTGTATCGATTCGTATCATGCACACACACACTCAGTTTGTATCGAATTTACTACTCTCTTGCGACAGGCGTGTGTTTATTCTTTCGTTGTGAAATCAATTAGAGAACAAAATATAACGTAAACGTTCGTGATTGTTACCGAAACGATAGTGAGTTGTAAGCATGCGGGAGGATGGAGACATTCAAGCAACAACAAACCAAGCGAAATCGAAATTTAAAAACATACAAAAAATTGTGAAGTGAAAAATAACAAAAAGATTTTTACGATAGAATTATTAAGCAGTTTGTGAATCTTGAAGAAATATATGACGATAAGGGTTAGGATTAGGGATATAATAAATGTGTTTTAAGTAAAAATCAAGTGGGAAATTTATTACTTACCTGTTTACAACACTTTGTATGCAGTTTTCTTTTCAGGAATGTTGATTTCTATGTAGTTACTTGGATTTAAAGTAGTTTTATGATGAATGTAGAGGTTATGAAGTGACATTGCAACGTTAGCGACACTAGCGACACTCGAAAACAGTATATTACGTATCCAGAGTGCAAAACATGCGATTTCTAAGGTATGCAACTCATTTTACACTATAAATATGTACTTTCAGTAGTTTCTTTACTTTTTTATTGCTTTAAAACTTACGTCGTTTGTTTTATTAATGTTCACTAAGAAAAATATGACAGATGACAAGGTTATGTTGCTGATTACTGTCAAAAGTAGTCGTGTTACATTGTGTGATGTCAAGGTCAACTGTTTTCCACACCACGATGTCAAAAACGTTCTCAAAATAAAATTAACTGTTTTTAACTCTACTTTACTGAACAGAAAACAATATTTTCTAATGTAGAAGTAGAAAAACATTTATTTTGGCTTGCAATTTATGCAAAACTCATTTATTTAAGTAAAAATTATTAAATTTTAGTATCCATAAGCAAATCCAATGAAATTTTATGCTTAACTCACCATGAAAATGAAAATTTTTGATTTTCTGCATGAATTATTACCCTACCACTTTTATTATAAGAATAAATTTATTATTTAGTAAAAGTCACATCAATTATATCTAAATTTATGATTATGACCGACATTCGCTTGCATACTACAACTTTTCACTGAAATATAAAAAGCTTTCGTCTATTTTTAGCTCTCTCCACTCGAATTCTCGTCGTAATTCCTGATTTGTTGATTTGTTGATTTCTTCATTCGTGCGCGAACCTTGACTTAGACTTGAGATTCCACTCGTGGGTGAAATGGCCGGTAATAAAATATCGAAACGAGCAAAGAGGAAAGCGAAAAAGCAAAAAAGCAAAAAAAGTATTTTACCGGAGTGCAGCAAACAGGAAAACATGCAAATCGATAAAGCCCACGATTCCAACACGACTATGAACATGAACATTAGTTATCGACGTGTATCAATAATAATACAACAGAAATAAAAATAGTAAATAAAAAACATGTAATTGAAGGTATTGTGATTTTTAAACACTAAGAAAAGACATCCACACTGTCTATAGGCGAATGTGTAATAACACTAATGATATTTTATATTATTCGTCGGATTTCCCTAATCTGTGTTATTAAATTTGCGAATGGAATATAAGTTATTCATTATCGCAAGTTTAGCTCACAGAACACAAGGTCAATCGACCTCAAACGACATAAGATCACATAAAATTATCCAAAATCGTAGGAAATGGAAAAAATTCAAGCAAAACCATCATAAGTCATATTAGAACATCATTATCAGTGTATACTAGAGTATAAAACAACTTGGATGAGTAAGAACAGCGTCAGTCATCGATCAATCCTACAACAAACAACAATTTAATATAATTTCATACAATTTTCTATAAAATTAAAATAAAATGCAATATTTAACATTTTATTCATTCATTATCTTAATATTAAGTGAATTAAGTGATATTGCTTCGTGTAAACCTCTAAAAACATCTGAAAGAGACACAAGAAGTGCCAGTAATGGTGGCATACCAGATCCAGGATTCAGTTATGGTTATGGTTATGGTTTCGACACTTTCCAACCTGATTTAAGCAGTTATCCAGGATATAAGTTTGATTATCCATATGAGGCAGGTGTATATTATAATTATCCTCATCAACATGATGTACCTGTACTTCAAGGTGGATTTGATTATAATCCTGCGAGATATCCTTATCAACCGGACTTCTCAAGTGGATATTACCCTGGATATCAACCTAATTATACTCCTGGGGGTCCTGGGTATGGAATACAACCTGGAGTACAACCAGGGATCATTCCTCCAGTGTCTTCAGTGACGCCTGTACCATATGATCCAGAATATCCTGGATATGTGAATAGACCAGTCACACCTGGTTATTATAACTATCCAGGTGGGTATCAAGCTGGAGTGATTAATAATCAGCCTACGATTGGTCCAAATTTGTTGTTGCCGGGTAGTAGAGGAGGACATAAACCTTTGAATCGTGTTCCATTGGGTGTGAATCCTGGGAAATCAAGTGGGGATTTGCCTCAGCCTAGTTTGTCATGGCAAATACCTAATAGACAATTTTGAATATAGAAGATTGAAGATGATATGATAGAAGTTGTAGAATTATTAATGTATGAATGTGTCCTTCATGTTGTGATTCATGTAATTTGTAATTTGTAATAATGTCACCGTAAACGCAGTTGTAGTTGTAATTCATGAGGAAATTGACAATTTTCACAATAAATGAATCATAATGTAATAAACGTGATGGTTGTTACTGAAAGTCACTTAAAACTGAGTCATGGAATACAAAGCACGCATTTATTTCTTGATTTAGTGCGTGGTTAATGATTATATTAATAAAAACAACTCTAAACGTGAAAACTTAAGTAAAAATATAATTTTTGCAAACATAACCAAACATTTGTGTTAAAATTGTAAATTTTCATTAATTTAATCGTTTTAATTAACTTTATAAACATCCTCGATTGTCCAACTACCATCCAACTGTTTTTTACATAATATATCAAGTGAAACAAGCCCGAATTGTAATTTATAGTACAAATGTTGCAGCCAGAGGTGAAGAAACGGCAAAGTTTTTTGAATTTCTTCATTCTGCAAGAAAAATTATCAAAAACTTAATAAAATCGTCAGAAATATCAACAAAATATAAACAAACCTGAGTAATTTCATCAAATTGGATGGTTTTCTTGTATTGTCCATGTAATTCATACTGTTTTATCTCTTCCTCATCATGGATATCCATAAATTTAAACAAAAGATGGAATTTTTTACATTTTAACTCACAGACACCATTGTTGTCTCCAACATTAAAACTGTAACAATAATAATAATGTGTAATACCTTCATTTTTTAAACATTTTCATGACTTACGTCAATTTTAAGTCTTTAAGAGCTAAATTAACGCTCCCACTAACATTTTTAACATATACTTTAGTCCTTAAATAGGTATAATACTTCATAGCTAGTATTTTACTGGATAATATGCTTTCATACTGCGTTTTTCCTTTGTATGTTTCATTTCTATAACAATATTCACTTTATCACCATAACAATTCACTAAAATTCAATAATAATGATAAAATACATACAAATTTGCTGTAACATAATGTTTTAAAGCATCTTGCACACCAACAACTTTAATATTAGTAAATTCAGTAGTAATGAAATATTTCCCAGTAAAATGAACGTTCGTAATCAACAAAATAACATTTGGATGTAATCCTTCTGGTGTGAGCTTCTTTTCCCAATGTTTCAAATAAAATGAAGCCTTTTGTCCATCTGAGAATGTTAAACTTAACCTATGTTGAAAATCTTTAGCCATCATTCCGAAACTTCCATGTTTTGTACTTCCGGTTGATGAATCAGCTTTAAACGTGTCTGATTTATTTAAAAAATGAGAATCTATTGTTGCTTTTATGTTAATTGTGCATGATTCACTCGGAATAGTTGTTTTAACATCCATATTTTGTTTCTTTCCAGTTGGAATGAAATATGCTCCTGGTTGGTCTAATTTTAAACCAAAAATCTTTCCATGATTCCAATCAAATCTAAAAATTAATCATTTCATTTAAAAAATGTTAAAATACGTTGATAATAGATAAAATACTTACAATGCTTCATGTGTGTATAATCTATAAGTCCATCCAATGTCTAAAAACGCTACAGTTGATAAATACTCTTCGCCAAGTGCAATATTACATCTTTTCATTGAACTTTCATCAAAACTATCACTAGTTTTATTGTATTCTGTATACATTTGTGTAACAATCCATACTTCTAATGATTTTTCACTGAAAATCAAATTTGCTGGAGAAATTGCTACGATTACAAACTCATAAACAAAATGGCGGCTCCCCATGTCTCTATTTAATACTGTTACAAGGGCAGGTAACTTAAATTCATCATCATTATTATCACATATTGTTTTAATTTCATTGAAGTCTATTGATATGCATTCTGTTATTCCATCAGGATATATTTCACAGACTACGTGATATTTCAATATCAGCACTAGTTTATTACATAAATGTAAACAATTCCAGTTGTTAGTGTTGTGTATGTGCAACACAACGGAAGTGACGCCATCTTCTAACCATAATTTACCATTGCGACTTGTTAATATTCCAATTAAACATTCATTGTCATTACTTTGTCTATTAAGAAAATATGGTGCACAATGTGAGTTTCTGTTCAATACCTCGTTGGTTTTTGATGTAATCACTCCGATTAAATCTACTGATGATGATGTATTCATTATAAATTGTTTATCATTTAATAAAATTTCATTATTCTGGTTTAAACATAATTTTTTCATGATGCCTTCTTCTGATAAGCATTTAAACAGTGAAAATCTTCCATATTCATCATCAATCAATCTTGGATATAATTCAGGCAACCAAATATACACTTCTAAGTGCTTTTCACTTAGATTATGTTTTTCCATGAGTTGTAGAAGGTTTAAACTGTTGGTATTGTATTTATTTTGGTTATACAATTTCTCCATCATTGTATTGACTGATAGTAAATCATCCAATGCATTTAAATAACTCTGATCGTTTTCTGTTAGTATATCTATTGTTGTTGAAGAATCTCCGATGTAATAATCAGTTATATTTCCGTTTTTTGATGTATAAGTCTTGATGAATTGAATATTTTTAAGTCTTATTGTGTTGTTCGTGTGTGGAAAAAAGTCCTTGAGTTTATTTTCTTGACTTTGTGGACACAATGTTAAATAAACCACTATTTTATGTTTTGATGTTCTTAATTTTAACTCGATTGATAAATCAAGAAAATTTCTTGCTACTAAACTACCCTGTAAATAAATATTAACATTAAATTATGTATCATTTCAGTATGTTTGAGTATATTTACGAGAAGTTCAACGTTGGCCATCTTATTAACATAACTTGGTTGCCTATAATTAAAAAAATGAGAAAGTTTATGTTACACTCGGTTTATTTTAGTATTGTAACTGTCAAAAATTTGACATTTTGCGGTTATCTGATATGCATGTGAAGGATACCGGTCTAAACCATTTATTTTCGAAGTTATTCATTAATTAAATAGAAAACAGGCTGGGATATAACAATGTTCTCCTCAGTATCTGTTCATAATTAAATTATGTATCGAATAATAAAAGAATAATTCTAATTAAACCAATAGAAAAAAAGTTATTCGCAAAATAGTAATTTCTCTTAGCAAAACTTTTGTTTTGGTCAAGAACTTCTTTATTATAACTGTTGAATCATTTTCTATTTCATAAATTGATAGACAATTAAATTAAGAATATATTTTTAGCCCAAAGAATGTTTAAAATTATTTAATTTATAAGTTATTTATTAATAAATCTTGCTCAACATAGGTTTACCTTGATTTATATTAATTTCAAATATAACAAAAAGTTCTTAATGATTTATAAGTAAATGATAGTAAATAATACTCACATAAAGAAATGTTGTTAATTAAACTATAAACGATAACATACAACTCTTTATCATTTAAAGATTTCTAAATAAAGAAAACATTTGTCACATTTGTTGTGTGGTGTAATAACCTCAAAATTAAAAGAATTGACCGGAATAACCCAAGAAACAAGTGAATTTAATGTTAAATATTAATAATTAAACTACAAAAACAAAAGTTTAAAGTGTTTGCAAATAAGCAAATCATATAAACAATGTTTAATTCATTGACAAAGCTTCTCTCTGCAAGAAACATCAATTTTTGTACAAAATGTAACTTTGCTCTTGTAAAAACTAATATTCCATCAAGTAAAGACTACATAAAAGACATGCCTAGTAAGTAACACCTTCCACAATATTTTCTTAACAAAATGAACCTATTGAAATGTATTTCTAGTAAATCAATATGTAATTTCACCACACAAAAGGAACAGAGTTTATGTTTGGGGTAATTTACGCACTGGCGCCCTTGGAATACCACATTCAAAGAAGAAAGAGAATATTCATCAGGTTATGGGCTTCAAAAGTCCAAAACGAATGCATTTTGCTGAAAATAATAATGTAATGAGTGTGGCAGCAGGTTTTGGCTTCACTTTATATGCAACAGAGAATGAAGTATTTGGAACAGGCATTAATGCTGAATCACAAATTGGTTATCATGAAGTGAGACATGATAAACCATTGGGATTGCTGTTTGCACCCATGAGTATTCATTTGGATGCATTTTCAACAGTAAAAAATGGAAAAATTAACAAAATCAGTGCTGGAAGAGCACATAGTGCTGTATTAACCAATACAGGATTGTATTTGTTTGGAAGTAATGCTTATGGACAATGTGGGAGGAAAGTTATTGAAGATGAAGTTTATTCAGGCAGCAGAATATTAAATTTTGTTGAAAATATTGATGGGAAGAAGATTACAGATGTTGTATGTGGACAAGATCACACGTAAGGCATCTTTTTAACTTTTGTTTTAACCATTTACGTAATGGTATTTAGTATTATTTATAATTATTTATTAAAAGCAGCTTAATTTGTGTTTTTGAAGAAAATAACTTTTAAAATGAAGATTTAACATAGGCAACCAAACATACACCAAAATAACATACCTATTAAAATTTAAAATCTTTGTTTTAGTTTAGTAATATTAGAGGATGGCAGCGTATATAGTTGTGGATGGGGTGCTGATGGACAAACTGGTCTAGGACACTACAATTCCACAGATAATTTCGCGCAAATAAAAGGTGATGTCGCTGGTGAAAGAATAACTCACTTGGCGTGTCGATCTGATTTTGTTTTAGCTTTAACCGGTGAGTTAAACATTAATATTTCTTTAAACTATTAAAAATTTAACTTTTTCTATAGACAAAAACGAAGTTTTTGGTTGGGGTAACACTGAATACAGCCAAATGTCGCTTTCTGATGGCTCTCAACAAGTATGCAATCCAACTCATCTCTCAGCATTCAATAAAATAGGAAAAGTTACTTCAGTTGCAACTGGTGGATCATTCTGCCTTGCATTGACTGAAACTGGTGATGTATACGTTTGGGGTTTTGGTTTATTAGGTCTTGGACCTCTTGTACAAGAAACTAAGATTCCTACAGTCATACCAAGAACTTTGTTTGGTCATAATGAGTTTAATAATGATTCGAAGGTTGTTTCTGTGCATGCAGGACTATCACACATGGCTGCAATCACTAATAAAGGTGATTTATATACTTGGGGTCGTAATAGGTCCTATTGTTTGGGTCTAGGCTTTGATAAAGATCAATATTTTCCATTGAAAGTAAGTTTTTTATTGTTTTGTTAGTTTGTTGAATGTTTTTGATTCAATTTTGCTTTAGGTGGCGTTAGGAGGAGCTGTTAAGGATGTAAGTTGTGGTTTGGATCATATGATAGCTGTTTGTAACAGTTATATTAGTGAACAAGTCGAATAAACATTTTTACATTTGAAATTTACGCTTATTCATGTGAAATGTTGGTTGCCTATAGTCAGGCCACAAAAACCAACGCAAAGTTTCATACAAAATAGTAAAAATTATCTTATATTTACTATAAAACATTGTTTAACAACTTATTTATTACAGTTTTTACTTAAAATAATACATTTTTATGTTGTGTGGGTTACATAACTTAAAGCCACTAAAAGTCATTTATGCCGGCGTCTAATTGGCCAGCGTATCTAGTGTTTTCATTCCAGTGAATTTGTTGGTTAGTTTCTGCATACGCATACGATTCGGTGATAAATAAATCAACAATTGTGTGCGTTCGGGGGTGTTTTCTGAATTTCGTCGGACGTGCACCACCCCCAAGATGATCAAGACAAACGGCAAAGCGGACGATCCAGAGGAGATCACCATGACGCCGCAGGAGTTGCAACTTCTCTCAGAGCTTGATAGGTGGGTCAAGAAGCAATTAAACAACATTGATATAAAATAACAACTTTTGTTTATGTTTAATCTATAGTCGGCAGTGTGGATATCTCTTGCTCAATAATCCAGACAATGCTAAGAAGAAAACATTAGTGTTGAAAGTAAGTAATAAACAAAAATTCTAGAATAATTATTGAAATTTTTATATAGTCATCGAAAAGTTTAAAATTTTTACTTGAAAGAAGTTATTAAAGGTTCAGAAGTGATTTTAGACTTAGTATTAAATTTATAGCATAGTTATATACAAATTTTATTGCTAAAATACTTTTATTATGTATTATATCAATGATTTCTTTATAAAAATTGTTATTTTTGTTCTAATTTTTGTTTTTTGTTAATCAGGCAGTGAAATATTTGCAACTAATGGTCATCCAGGCAAGAAAACAGCAAAAAGCTCAAGATACTGATGTGTCAAACACAAAAAACACTAAAAGCATCAGTATAGATCCAAAAACATGGGTAAAACTGGGCCATTTTCATTTGTTGTTGGAAGAACACCGAAAAGGTAATAACTTTTACATAATTTTCAGTTCACAATTTTCAATTTTCAGTTATTTTTATAGCAAAAATTCATTTGTTTGTTATAGCATTGTCTGCATATCAAATGTTCTACACTGCACAAGCTGAGAATCACTGGAAGGACACGGCATTCCTGTATGGACTAGGATTAGTGTATTACTACTTCAATGCATACCAATGGTAAGTGATTGATTAAATATTCTTATGATTGTTAGTAGAAAACAACGTTTTTGGGGTTAAAAGTTTTGAAAAACGCAGAAAAATTGCGTTTTTTTCGGTTTTGGTTGAGTTTTTCTATTGAAATTATGTTTATTTTTGATGGAAAACACGTAAATTTGCTCAGAAACGCGGAAAAAACACCATAATTGAGGTTAAAAATGGTTTTAGGTTATGTTTTATACATAATTTAAGTTTAAATAGGTTTTATTTGGGTTAAGTTGAGTGATTTTTGCAAAAAGAAAGAAAATTTCGAAGAAAAAATGAAAATTATTGTAAAATTAACGAATTTTACATAAGAATTTGACAAAAATGCAAAAATATCGATTTTTATACATTAATTTACCAAAGAATGAAAGAAAAACTATATTTTCTAGTAAATTTTGCATTCATCTCACACACAATTTGAATTTCCCGCGTGTGCATTTGCTATACGAACGCGGAAACACGCCAGGACACGCCAGACACCATCCTACACCTCCTGCAGCCCTAGTACTCGAGGGCGGCGCGGTTATTACCTGAAACGCTATGCGCGACTGAACCATCGATTTTACCTGCTGCCTTCCTTTAGTTCCTCCTTTCCACCTTTACCTGCTATTTCGCGCACGCACACGCCGCACTCTAACAGAACTAGACATTTTTCACAAGTAATTATTACGTGGAAGCGCGAAGGGAGACGGAATGATTGGAAAAGGGGTTTGGGTTCGTTGTAGTTTTCGTGTGAAATGCAGGACATGCAGACGGGCAGACGCGCAGACACTATAATCAAGCAATCAAACAATCGTATCGATCTAACTAACATTAGCATACCGACGACGCAACAACCAGCTTATCAAAACACGCGGGCAGTTTGCATACAGAAAATGTCAGACATAATAAATTCATTGTTTTATTGGAGTTTTAGTTAGTAAATGCACAAAAGAAGTGAAAAGTTTTGTTTTATTTTATGTTTTTGGTTTAAAATTACTATATTTTGGTAAAAATTGCACAAAATGACAAATTTTTATTGTTTATTTATTATTAAAGGGTCTAGCAGTTTAAAACTATGAGATTATTAATTATTTTTCGTACAAAACTGGAGAAAATCAGAAAAAATGGTTTGAAATTTATTTTTCACTTTTAACGTTAATATCTCGGTAATTATTTGTTTAATCCACTTCAAATTTGTTATGGTTCTTGATTATTTTGATAGTTATCATGTTACCAAAGGATTTTGCTTTTGAACCAATAGTTTTTTATTCATTGCAGAAAAACTATGAAAAATCAAGTTAAAACCTAAATTTTTACGCTTTTTGACAGTTTTTAATCAATATCTCACAAATTATTGCATCAATTAAGTTCAAATATGTTATGGGTATTTATTATTATAATAATTATTATGTTGTCAAAGTATTTTGCTTGTGAACAATCAGTTTTGTATTTATTTGAGAAAAACTACAAGAAATATTTTTGCAATTTTTGCAATTTTTGAATACTTTTTATGTCAATATCTAACTAATTAATGCAACAATTCTGTCCAAATTTGTTATAGACATATATTATCCTTATATTTAACAAATGTCAAAAGCTTTCTGTTTTTGAAAGAACCATTTTCTATTTATTCCCAAAATAATCAAAGAAAATACTGAAAAATTAACTTTGCATCAAAATTTACAACTTTTTCTCACTTTACAAGCGATTTTCTTATAAATTATCCAAAGAATCAACTATAAATTGATTATATTTATATATTTGTCCAATATTTTCAAACATTTTGATGAAATTATCAAAACTAAGCGTTTTATTGCAGAAAAACGAACTTAAATATGATTTTTGTCGAAAAAACTTAAAATTAGATAAGTATTGATAAAATGTATTTATTTTTAGAACAATACTTCATTTATTTATGACTGAAAACCTAAAATATATAAAAAGTTCCAATATTAGTACGATTACCACGAATGAACACACTTTTATCAATAAAATAGTTTGAGACCTTATCTCCTTCATTTGAATAAGTCACATTTCACATTCTAGCCGCAAGGCGCGTAAACCCGAGCTTTTACATCGCGACATTCCTAAATATATACAAATCGATGCCATTGACCTGGTCCCACACACACACATACACACCCATCCAGTCACTCACAAAAAATACATAAAAATTAAATGAATCATACATACATTAAGAAACTCACATTATTATCTTTTTTTGTATGTGATATTTCGCACGTGCTGCGTGCGCATTTTTTTGCGTTGACTCTTGATTGACCTGCGGCACGGACAGCGGGACAGGTTGGCGCGCGCAGGTCATTCCGATCTGATTCTTGGATCGCGAGCGTGTATAATTTTATTTCGACCCGCCGAAGAGCGCCGGACAATAATAGGTCGTTTACCTGACTCGGCGATGAGCATCGCCACAAAAGGCGGTCGTGTGGTGCACTGACCACTGCACTCTAAACAAAAACAACGAAGGGCCTTCAAGGTCAAATAGATAGACGAGTGATATTTTTTTTATTTATTTGAAAGAAATTGTTTTAATTATGATATTTTATGAAGAAATGGGTGATTAAATGTATGTTCGGTAGTTGTACCGCAAGTCAAAGCATTGGTCTATTACGTCATTGAATGTTTTATTGGTGAATATGGCCTAAAACTTCGGTTTTGTTTTTTAGAGAAGAGATAATAGTAAATTTTCTGTAAAAATTCTGATTTTTTTCAGTTTAATTGAGAATATTTCAGGAACTATTATTTCAATTGTCTTTAAATTTGTTATTAATGTTTAATAATATGTTAGGTAACTCCTGACCAAAGCATTTTATTTTTTGGCTAATAGTTTTTTAATTATTCCAGAAAAACGTAAAGAAAATGCGTAAAAATTCGATTTTTACACTTTAAACAATAATACTTTATGAACTATTGCGTGAATCAAGTTCAAATTTGTTATAATTATTTAGTACATTGATCGTCATAACGTGGCCAAAGTAGAACATTTTTGGCAAAATAGTTTCTTAATTATCGTCAAAAGAAGATAGAAAAAAGACAAAATTTCAAAAAAACTGCTGTTTTTCCAATTCTTAACTGCAATATCTCGAAAACTATTATTCAAATTGCGATCAAATTTGTTATTACTATTTATTACTACAATAATTATTACTTGATAAAAGAATTTTTGAATTTCTGCAACAACTTTTTTATTTATCGTCGAAAAAAGCACAAAAAACGAAGTAAAAATTAAATTACGTATAACCACTACTTAATTTTAACTTTAATCCATAATATCACTTCAATCACATTGAAATACATAATTATTATTAATTATTAATTCAATTATTTCAATCTGCTTGTAAAAACAACAATTCTAAGCCCTAATACCTCTATGTTCTGTACGTGTACCGCAAGTCAAAGCATTGTCCCATTACGTCACTGTGCATTTCAAGATCACCTACGTCATAAAACCCCTTCGCGAACCACCTTAACACCGACAGCTAAATTGATGATGCATGCGGTTGACTATATGAAAGTGAGCTTACAGCTTACGCTGCAGCTTTTGCAATGATACCGAAGCAGCGAGGCAGAGGAGCTTCGACAACAAGCCGCGAGTTCAATACACTTGCCAACTTGCTGACGTCACGGGCAATTGCATCATTGCTCGTTGCTCCGCTAAAAATAGCCCTACGTGTGTAGTACATGCACAATCTGTACGAGCACATTACATTTCACACGTAATTTATGGCTGGATAAGAATTAATTTTAATAATATTTTTTTATAATAGCTCTGTATGCGTATAGAGTTATTTTTAAAAATTGGTTTTGATTAAGTTATAAGTTATAACTCGCGTTTGTTTATAACGAAATTGTTTACGATATAAAATAAAATGACTGCACTTATATGCAGTGTGCAGCACAGTATGCTAATCGAGGCTACATCGAGGTCAGATGCACTTGATTATCATAATAAACATAAACTAATTTTACGCTTCCTCGTTTCGAATGCGCGTTTTTTTTTTCTTCGCTTTTTTTGCTGTAGCTGCTGTGTAAATTTTCTGATGTGGTTAATATTATGGAGTGGATATTGTAGGTATTTATTGTGATTTATTGTTGGTGGATTATGATTTAATGATAGGGATTAAAGATTTAATTATACGATGAAAATTGGTCAAAAATAAAACGCGAATTTTGATTTTTGTGATTTTTTCAATTTAATCGCGGTTATCTTGCAAACTGTTTAATCAACTCATTAATCAACTTCAAAATTGTTATTGATATTTATTAGAATGATAAGCAATACGTGGAGAAATCGTTTTTATCTTTGTACCAATAGTTTTATTTATTTATTTTAGATAAACCGTTAAAAATGTGCGTAAAATGAGTAAAATTGCTTCATTTTTCTCTCTTTAAATGTCAATATTTCGAAAAGTATTATCGCAATCGCTTTGACATTTATAATTAATGTTCATTACTAGATTATTTAGTACGTGGTTAAAGCAGAACATATTGGGATCATTTGCTTTATAATTATGTTTGAAGAATAGGTTAAAAATGAGCGCAAAAATGAATTTGCCGCAAATTTTACCGATTTTTAACTTTTAAAACGTCAATATCTCGGAAACTATTGCGTCAATCAAGTTCAAATTTGTTACAATTATTTATTGTTGTGATAAACAAAATGTGGTCAAATCGTAACATTTTTGGGCTAATAGTTTCTTCTTAAACCCAAAAAATGATTGAAAAAAATACGCAAAAAAGATTTTATCTTAAAATTACTGCTTTTTTGCTCTTTAAACGGCTATATCTCGATAATTATTGCACCTATCCAGCTTAGATTTGGTATTAATTTGTATTAATATGATTATGAACATTACACCAACGTTGAACCACTTTTGGGCCAACCATTTTTTATTTATAAGCAAAAAATGACCAAAAAAGCGCGTAAAACGCTTTAAACAACAAAATTTAATAAAATATTGCTCCAATTAAACTCA